CAAATGCCATTCAAAGGATAATCTGCCAAAACATTGGCAACGTAATTGTAGATGAAATTCTTGTGGTGCGCCCCAAGGATTCCAATTGTCGTGCAATTCATCCACAAACAGATTGAGTGATCATCCTCAGGGGCAAGTAAGGGCCAGCAATGGGCAACCCTCTTTACATGAATTGGCATGATTTAAATCAATTGGCATTGGGTATAAGGGGTTTGTTAGAACGAATTCAACCTGGTTATCTTGGGACCCCAAGTAAAATCGGATGGCCATTGGAACATCTGTTTTTTTTAATATATACATCCGTTGTTCAAGGTTGTAAAGATGATGATAACTACATATCAGAAACATTAATTAGAATAATAACTTTGATATATATATATATATATATATATTATATTTTATTTTTTAACTAATATTATAATATATCATATTATGTTATATTATATTATATTAAATCATATTATATTATATTATGTTGTATTATATTATATAATATAATATTATATTTGTAATATATTGTATATATATATATATATACATATATCATCATATTATGCTATATTATATTATTAATAATATATATATATTATATATATATTATATTTATACTAATTAATATTTAAAATATTTTGATTTAATAATATATATATATTTCTTATATTATATTACAATGATAATATTTATATTATATAATGTGATATATATATGTATATATTATTTCCAAACCACCCCAAACCGATCCCGGAACATCCTGTGAGTTGGCATTCTCCTGGATTGTCTCTCTTAGCCATGACCTGCTCTTGGGCATGACCGTGGACTCACCCTCTGCCACCTTGCCAGCAAAAACCGCCAGGTTCTGCCCCATGAACTCGGCCACTGCTTCCCAGGCGCGGTTGTGGCAATCCTGAGGTTATGAAAACACGATGGGAAGACCAGAATGTCTAATTATCATTCATTCAATGCACATCTCATGGCCAGTACAATGACAAACTGAGATTGTTTACCCTATGCCACATATTATCTTTGACAATGTGGTTTGATTTTGAATCCTCAAACCCAGATTCCAATGGAATCCCACACCCCCAAAACCTTGATACCAGTCCTCCAACTGCTTGATCAAGCGGTTCCTTGTTTTCTGCCCCTCTTTTTCCATCCTCAGCCACAAGGGGACTAGCAGCTGAGCGCATGTTACAGTAATTTATTTTCATATATAGAGAATGGGCACCGAATCAAAGCCAACACATGGATACTTCAATAGAATGTGTCAGTGTTAGAAGATGATGTGGCATATAGTAGCTCGTTGCTGGGCAGGGGTAAAAAACAAAAATGTGCTGTCTAAGTTAAAGTCTGAGGTTCAGGATCCTATCACTGACGAATTGGGCCTCATCAGCTCTCAAGTCCTCCACCCACGCTAAGTATGTTGCCTCGATTGATTTCAACAGCGCATTCTTTGAACGATCCTGGTGGCTGGCCACATAGTCGATCATCATCTTCCCTTGGGCCTCCCAGCACAAGTTGACCGAGATGATGATGCAGACCAGTTTACAATGTGAATGAATGATCTGGTCAATCATATAATATTTTATATCCCATCTCATGGCTTATCTTTTTGTGGGAAGGCCAACATTTAAAGATCTTAAGCCCAGCCATCCAGTTCGATTTAGATGTTGAAACGAAAAACACGCATAGACATTATATAACATGTAAGATTCAATTCAAAAGTAGTTTACATTTTGAAAACAAAAGGGCATTCAAAGACCGGTCCTCCAAAATAAAGGGGATCCGTTCAAACACGGGGGGCTCTCCAGACTTGAGAATGGCACTCAGGTCCGAATCCAAATGCCTCAGAGGTGCCGAGTATGCGTGATGACAGGGCTGTCCAAGGGCAACCCAGGAGAAATTCCCAAAAAAAACAAGATTTAGAATTTGAATATTTTCTCAAATATATTTTTTAAATCAATCACATTTACATCTTGAAATTTTCATGGCTAATGTGACGGGTATTCCAGAACACGCATCACAAAAAGCTAGTATTTCAAGACCCCCATGATCTTCAGAATCTTCCCATGTTGTGAGCCTCATGATTGACTACCCCGGTATCCTTGAAATTATGACGGAGTTTCTGGAACACGCATGATTTTTCAGCCATGAAATTTCAAATCCAAAAGTGATTGATCCAGTAAGATTTTTGCTGGCCAAATCGATTTTGCTACGAGCAACTATTTGTGACGGGTTTTCTGGAACACGCATGTTTTTGAAGCAGTCTTAGCCAAAATATTTTGGCTAGCAATCACTTTTTGTCGGGTTTAACCAACTGCATTTAGCGACCAATCACAACCTACCAGGGTTAGCCAAACAAATTTGGCGACCAATCAACATGTGTTGGCCTTAGCCAGATGAAATGGCAACCGAATAAATTTTGACAATATATTTACTTTGAAGTAAAGTAAGTTGATTGTTGCTGCTGAAGCACCCCTTGTCAAACAATTCCTGGTGTTTCTCAACCTCGGTCACAGTAAAAGACTCTGCCATCTTCTGCTTGACCCAGAGCCACAGGCAGCAAACGTCGTGGAGCAGAAAGTGCTCATCTTCGGAGATTTGGCTTTGTTTCTCAGGTCGGGGGGGGCATGTTTGGATGGAACTGGAAACCTGGAATGGTTTTTTTTGATTCACTGCATGTAGGTGCCTGTAATTTTAAAGCGACATAGAGTCATAAAATGGTAAATATAATTGGGATATTATTGGGCCACCATATTATCAATCAAACCCGAGATAAATAATTGGGGCGCATTTTGAAACCCCCCCTCCCCTGGTGAACCCTTCCCCATGATCTCCTTCTTCTTCACAGTGGCCGATTGCCCTGCTCTTCGACAGAAATCCTCATGGGTAACACCGGCATTACTTGTCATTGATAATAAGTTCAATACGTTATAAGTAGAAACCAAACCAATTTCAGGAATAAAAAATCAAGAGCATAAAATGGACAAAACAAAACCGTCCTCAATGGCCCTCTTGAAGTAGGTCGCACATGTCTCTGGGGAGGTTGTCAAGATAGTGGAAAACAGCTCCTTCCCCTTGTAGATATCACAGTCTTTCCGCGTGGTGGAACCAGGAACGAAAAAATCATGTGTCAGCACGTCATGGGGTAGTCCTACAGGGTTGATACAATGACATTCAGAAACCAGAATCGGCAGCCAACAGTAATCACATAGGGCTTTGTAAGAAAACACCATGAAACAATCTAAGAACATGTTTTGGCCAAGTGCCCCCAACCCAACCTGACTGTTCGTGACGATAGCCATCATAATGCTTGTGCAGCAAGTCCAGGCAGGCTTGAGGAAGTCGCAGCCTGACAAACCGGCTACAACACGTCAACAAGGGACCCGTAGTGATTGGGAAATGTCTAATGATTCATTGATTGATTGTTTTTTTTGGCTAAGAAACAGGTTGTAGATCAAATTGCGTCTGGCCCCATCGATCTTGTGTCGTTTGATCGACACCATCTTGTTGTAGTCTGATACCACACGAGCCATGATGTCCTTCAAAGCCTTGTTTGACTTGTTCATTTTGCGCTCTATGTTGATGGCTTGCTGGATGTCAGCAAGCATACTGATTGGGCTCGGCGAGATCTTTTCAGCTGTAACGTACCCCAGTTCTTAGCACACAGGGTTGAAGCAAATCCCAGACAATCCAAATTACAGTAAGATGACATACCCAAAATGACAAATTGAAAAACACACTTTACGTCATGGCTTGACAAATTAAAGGCAAAACATCAAAGTTACCATATCGAGTGTCTCAAAGAAAGCAAAAAGTGATGGCTTGGGTTGTCATAGTGCTGGTATGTGCATCGGATTGCTGCAAACGATTTGAGGCTCTCCCCCAACCTTGTTCCATTGAGATCATCCCGGTTCACCTCAAGCTCCACTAAGAATCCCACTATCGCCAGCATTATGAGAACCTTTGTGAAACCGTCAACGATTCCCACACTCCCATCCTTGATCGCACGGGTAGAATCTCTGAATGGAAACTTGCAGTCGATGGTGCCCATCGCTGGTTTGTATCCACGCAGGAGGAACTCACCAAAGTGGGCGGCATACTGCTGGTTGGATGGGTAGACTTCAGGGAACAGGTGGTAAAACAAGAAGCCCAAATTGGAACACTACATCGAGCTGGATTCAGTAGATTGAAATTGAAACCCAAAGATGAAACAGAAAACAGCAGAAAGAAGTTATATTCAAAATCATTTAAACAACAGATGAATGTTGATAACATCAACTGCACCACCCCAATTTCGACCCAACCCGGCATCCATTTTTGGAGTCAGGTCCAAAATTGAACTTGTTCAAGGGAAGCCAGAATTCTTCCATGGAATCAACTGGAATCAGGTTGAGGGGCGCTTTGCTGGCTGGGATCGAAGCACCATCTAGGACATAGTGGAAGATGGCCTTGGGGCCAAAGGATAATCAAATTCATGTTGGTACAACTTTTCTGACATCGAGTTTGAGACCCAAACCTTGTCCATTTTGTCATCGTCACCAAAGACATCTTGAAGATGTTGCCCCAAGTTTTTGGAAGCTACCACCTTAGAGAGCAATGTCAATAGAAAACTGAGCAACAGTAATCACAAATTCGGAATGACCATGCCATGAAGCACACCAACAAACACCGAGGGCCAAAATGGGCAAAATAAAATAATCCAAGTAACTGTATCGAAATATGTCATCAGTTGTTCTAGATGTGCATCCCCCTCAAAGACACTGGCATCCATGGCGACTACCCTCGCCCCCACACCCAGTCAAATCAAGCCTTGCTGAAAGCTAACAAGTAAATTCAGACCTGACACCAAGAATGAGCAGTGACATCCAGCACAAATGAAACCCGTTCACAAATTGATCACATGAAACACGGTCACAGATACTTCACATATTGATCACATTGTGTTCATGGTTCACTCTTGCCAGGGTGTCCTTTTTCCCGTAATCCCACAACCCCAAACATCAAAGCCTGGCCCGGTGAAACACCACTTGGAGTTCATGTGGTTTCGGGGGCACAGGTCTTTGCCCAAGTTGAACATTCACATTATCTAAATCGTGTGCAGTGTTGTGCCGCACAAAAGTCAAAGAAATTGGTCGCACTGAGGAATCCCTGGTTTTATCGATCATTCCAGTGTACCATGCAACAGTCCTTCTCATGTGAGGGAAGTCCCGTGAAATAGCCTCCCGTAGCAATTTCAGTTCCTCAATCCTATCGTCGCTGATTTCACACCCCTGAATTGGGCAAGTGGGGCTGTTGCAATCCTCAAGCATCTTTTGGGACTGGGCCCCCAATGTAGCTGGCCAAACCAGAAGCGGGTTCTGACAAAGCTGCGTGGAACTCATGGCTTGTTTCACCATGCAGAACACATCCCGAGACCCATCCTGAGTTCTCCAAGCCCTCGGTTGCCGCTCATCCAACTCTAATCCTTGACCTTGATGTGGAAGACCTAGCTGAAAAGGGCATGTACGTAAACATGTCTAAAACGTGTTTACATGATATCGAACACATACCTATTGCATGGAGAAATCGCGATATAAATAATATATGATATAATATAAAAATACATAATAGATTAATATCAATAATGTCCAGCCACCTGATCGCAGCATGTAGGAGAAACTCTGCGGCAATGGAACCCGTTCCCCTTCAGCATCTGGTTTTCGTGCCCTGAAAGCATTTTTGAATGTAACAGCCCCAGGAAGAATGGATGTCCATTGTCGTGCCTTAAGGGATGCGCCAAAATCAATGGGACAGGAAGATATGTATTCTAAGATCCTTAATTTGAGAACTAGACCCATCGTATACCCATCGCCTATGCAAAAAAGAAAAAACTACTCAAAGCAACCAAAGCACCACACCCAAAAGCTCAACTGAAAACTCCACACCCTTCTTCCTAAAAACTGGCCCCACACGTTCGTCAATTCGCTGGGCAATGTCTCGCGGGGTTTCCAACCGGGGAGCAGTGTGCAAACATGCCGTACAAAGGCTGAAAACAGCATCTATATCCTCGTGGGTGTGTCCAACTGTGAGGTGATGTTGTGATGTCGTTCTGAAAACTCCAGTTTGGAGTAATACGCTCAACATTCGGGCTCCGTTGTTGTTACGTATCTCTTTGACCGTGTTATCGCTTTGCAGCCACAGCCTAAGATGTTCAAACAAAAAAGGCAACCACTAACTTAACTCATCCAAAGAAACAGCAAACGGCAGCAGGCTATCATCAAAGGATATCATCAAAATCTCAAAGCTACCATCCAAAACCCCAGGGATGACAACTCCAGGAAACTCCCCCGGAAAGGAAGTGCTGGTGGCCCTGCAACGCCTCCAGACTTTCTGCAAGGACAGCATGACCTAAGACCACAGAAGCGACCAGGGTAAGAGGAACACAAGATCAGTACCATTGCCATTATAGCGATATGAAAAACTAGTTCAAGTCAAGATACACATTCCCAGTTCCAATTGCTTCCAGCACTCATGCCCTCTTCCGTACTTAGGTACAGGTAAAGTCCATGCCCATGGCAAAAAACTGCAGTTAGAACCAATGATGCTCCTCAATCCAGTGTCGGGAGGGATGGTTCTGGTTGATCCATGGGAGGGGTTCAGGGAAACACAAAATTGAAAAACAAAAGTTCCTGTAAATGAAAAATTGCAAAAAAATATTGTTGATGTCAAGTATCTCAGGTGAAGTTCATAAACTGACCTTTTAGGTGTTCTCTTCAGTGGCCAGGATGGCAGGCATATTTTTGATCGGTCAAAGGAATCTATTATGACAACCAATAAGTCCCTCTGAGTCGAACTCCTCTCACGGGCCTTCCAGTACACCTGCCGGTCAGCCCATTGGGCTGAGTAGTGCCCCAGCAGTTCATCGCAAAGTTCTGCGTGAACTTTGAAATCCTCAGCGGTGGTGAGGGGTGGGGGAAGTGGGGGGATTCATGATTAGGCCATATTAAGCCATACCCATCAAAACAAACCTGAACAAACAAAAATAACAGCAACGGATAAAAACTGTTGTGGCTGACAAAGGTCAGTCGCTGCATGAATTTGTGATTTCAAAGACTGACATGTAGCACACATGGCATGCTCGCACTTGCGTCTAAAGCGAAGGCAGCAAGACCACTGCTTCGCCACTACGTAGAAGGTACTTCTCGAAGCTGGTTTTGAATGCGAGATCCGTTGAAATGCAATGTACATGAGATATAAACTTGACATAGATCCTGGTGGAAGTTCCCTTAATGGAAGTTCTTCAGGACACATCTCCATCACCTGCCGGGTAGGCCCCAAAAGCCTCTCGTCCACCAAGCGTTGGAGCAATTGCTCCCTCATGTGCTCACTGGTCGTTGGCTCAGATTCAAACCTGGGCAGGTTGAGTTCACTCGGTATGTTTAGTTCAAATTTGTTGATTCGACTTACCGGTATTTGAAAGGTTTCCTCAAAGGTTTTGGGTACAAGGCAGTATTTGAAATGGTTGGTTTACCATCATCATTTTTACCACTTACTCAGGGTTGCCTGAACCATGAAAAACAAAATAACAAATCAAGTAACTTGGTGGGCATGCTCTCACCAGCTGTCCACCACATGTGTCCAAAGAAAGCATGGACAGAAGCAGTTTGGATCGCTGGATGTGCAGTGTTGCCTGAAATGGGTGTTCGAGACTGGGTTCAAATCACCAGAGGGCAAACGGAAACACACAGTAAAATAATACCAACAATCAACATAAATTGAACAGCACAGGGACCAGTACATGGACCTTGTTTTTTTCATAATTGAGTTCATTGACACGTTACCCTGGTTGATGGTGCGGTCATCAATCCCCCGGTACCGCTTCCTTGTTCGGTTGAGCCTCTCCTTGCCAATGCCCAAGAAGCGTAGCCAGGCTGTTCGACAAAGAGGATAACCTGCGGTGGTTCAAAGGCCAAAGGCCGCCGGCGTGGGTCGGATTTGGGGTTGAGAATCAAAAATGTTGACCCAACCCGGTATTAAAAATGAATAAAACATATATTCTACTTCCGACCCGTTTCAGGACCAAGCCTTCTATCTTCCAAGTTTTCCGGCCAGTTTCTGATTGGAGGCTCCATAAAACAGCATCCTGTGATGTCTTAGGTAATGACCAAAATGTCCGGCATGTTTGAATCAAAACTGATGATGGAAGCGAGCACTTACAGTCACAAGGAGGCTTCCGGAGAACCGCCCGAATTCGCTTTGGGTCAGCACCGTGTTTTGCAAATGATGATGTGTCCCCAGATGTTCCCAATTGGTGACATGATTGAAGCGCCACCAGCTTCATGTCCACTGTTGAAGATTTCGGTCTAGATAAGCTTGAACTTGACTCAGAATTTGACCTTGGATCGACACATGAACCCATTAACATCATCATAATTTAGAATAAGAGATAATATTATATCATAATCATAAAACATCCAAAGTACCGATATTCACTGACTATTATTCACTTGTACTTGCAAAATAAGTGAATAAATAATAGTGAATATCGGTACTTTGGCATCTTACTGCAAGAAAGAGCATTGGAAAAACATTGAGCAAACCAAAACCAAAGGTTCCCCAATTCAACAGTTTCAAAAAAGGGAACATCCACCATAACCTAGGCACTCAACATCTCCGGAATCAGAATCAGAAACATTGTCATCACTGCTGCCATAGTCCGATGTCTCATCATACCGCCATACCCCAGCTCCCCCGGCTCGTCGCACAGGTGCAGCTACGATATCGTCACCGCTGTCATCGTAGCGGAACAGGACACCCATGTGGTTGATTGGACAATGGAGGTGTTATGTTGTTATCACATTCTGAGTAAAATATAAAGACTAGTCAACATGACAATCGGAGTTTTGGTTTAGGAATCAGATCTTAGACAATACTGGACATATGTCATATGGATGCCATCGCAGCGCCATTTTGAAGCCACATGCATGTCATGTGGATATCATGGAAATCAAATGGATTACATTCATGATCATGGGAGTGTCGCATTGGGTTCCCTATGATCCCTGTGGATGTTCACCTAAGTTTGAACCCCTTCTCCAGGATCGAAAATCCATGCATCCTATTCACGAATCAACAGCAAAGTAGAGACATGTATATAGAGACTTTGTGTTTTTTCCAACCAGCTTCCATTGGATGCTTTGAAGATGCGAAAGTTGGTACAAAGCGCCATGTACCTTTGATGGCTATTCATCTGGCTAAGTACTCTGCCAATTTTTGGCGATTGAACGCTCTGAATATGATACACAGGACGGCCAAAACACATCTTACGTGCATCCCATTGCCCGCAAGTTTCATCAGTGCCTTAGAGAGCAAAATTCGAAAAACTGATTCCAACTTTAAGTTCTTGATTCTTGGTTGTCGTAACATTAGCACACATTAAGTGCAATTTAGTTGCCCTGTCGGAAAAGGGTTCCCACTTGATTTGGTCAACTGGCATCCCCATCATGATCAACGCCTCGAGCCCACACAGAAATCTGCCTTCCTTCGCCAGCAGGAATGTGCAATTGGGCCTCATGAGCACCGGACAGAGTGAGTGTTGGCTGGAGGGTGGATCGCTGGAGTATGTTTGATTCAAAAGATGCAATGAAATTCGATGATCTAAGGATACCACGTTAAGCAGGGCACAGGGGCATCACAGTAGGTCAAGCTCATGCGGTGTATGGACTGCGATGTGTTCGCAATTTGAAATCTTCCTTTTCGACGGGTATGTAAATCGAGGGCCTACAGGGAAACATGTAACATCACAGTTTGTGGCAATCAGAGGACGAATGAATTTAAGATAGCTCCCTGAGAATATACAAGGCCTTCAACTCCCTCCGGGACGACAATTGGTTGACCAACCCAGGGTACAACTTGCTGAAGGTGCCACTGGCCCGGGTCACCTGCAGCATGCCAACATGCCATGGTAGATATGATATGATTACTGTTAGTTTGGTTCCAAGTCAAATTGAGAGTGATGGTCAAGGGCCTTGTGGTTGCGAGCCCATTCGCGATGTTTTTTCATCCAGCCAGCTGATTGCTTTCCAGGCCTATAGATAGAGTCATGCCATGCAAAGATCATGGCATCAAGTTCACATGGAGACTCCATCATGTCTATGTGTTTTTTTTAAGCCAAGTAACTTCATAGTTTTCCGCATCCTGTCCTCCATGGTCTTCTTGACAACCGGATGCGCTTTGGGCAGCAGCAAGTCTCGCCTTGGAATATATAGTTGGGTGGCAGGTTTGGGGATGAAGCATGTTGAAGTCAAGATTCCAATACAAATCATCTACATAGTCAAGATTCCAATGCAAATCCGTTGGCATGTCGAAGTCAGACACCATATCCGCAACAAATTTCTCAAAGTTGATCACTGCATGGCGCAGGATCAGTTCTTCTAAGACCAAGATGATGTAGACACGGGATCTTGTTGTTGGACTTCCCATGTTCTTCCTGACACCCAGCCATATATGATCATCTAGCAGGGAAAGGATTGGTTTCGATATGATTTGAAATTCGATAGCATGAGTTAAAACATCTCGACTTTTATTTTATGTAGATCACCGAGTTTCTGGTCAAGCTCCACCCAGGTGATCTTGTACCTTAGCTGGGAAACATTTTTGTTGGTGTGTTATTTCATCACTGATCAAATTTGTCATGGGTTCGTATTTTGTACAACCAAGTTTCTCTGGCAACTGTTTATGGAGAACATCCATCACAATGTTGATGACACGTTTGAAGCCAGTCACATTTTCCAGTAGGCCAGCCTAGCATAGTCCAAATCTTCCAACACAGCTTGGAAAGATGAGTTGCCAAGTCAAAATATTGCGTTTCTCAGTTGCCATCTAAAGAATCATGGATTTGTCAGACTAAGATCAGACAACTTCAAATCGAGTAACAGCTGGACGAAGGCTCTTGATCCTTCGTATGGTTTCCCACATGGGTTTCGCTTGTTCCTCTCCAAGGAGACTAGTATCAAAGTGCAGGGAGGAGAAAGGAGTACATGGAAACCCTGCAGCGTAGATCCCCACCTGCAGGAATGACTGCAGAGTTAGAGTTCATGGCTGGTTTCAGGTTTCTGTCAAAAAAAATGAAACCCCACCTTCGATTGTCGGAACTGCCAGGTATCCTTTTGAAAGATATCGGATTTCGACCTGAAACACTGCATCATGTTAAGTCACTACATAGTAACATCAAACATCAATTGGTTAATACCTGTTGTTACATACTACATCTTTTGATGCTCACGCTGTATGCTGGATAAGCTACTGCAGCGGAGCAGGGTGATTCATCCGAAGAAATCTTTGTGCTGCAGGATTGCATTCTGAATTGGACCTCGGATGGACATCATGGTAGATAAATCTGAATCTATGTTATATTTACATTATAATAATATATAGTATATATGGGGCTGGACTTTATAAATTCAAACATCCATCATGCTGATTAAAAAAAATGGGGATGTTGTCAGCAAAATGATATCAAAAACAATGGAGCCAAAGTACAAATACTGGATGCAATCTTTCTTGTCACCCAGAAGCATCCCCAGAGCGTAGAGCGGAGTGTCCATCCCAGAGCCTCAAGATTCAATGATGTTTCATGGGGTAAAGATGGGTGTAATGAAACACAACTGATCATTGGTTACCCCTTTCTATTGACAAGAAGCAATCGCTGCAGTAACCCAAAGGCGTGTTCCACTTGTCCAGGATGTGATTCAAACCTGAAGTAGATGGGTGGCATCCCTTTGATGATCTAGGTGGATGGAGCCTAGCGAACTAAATCCATGCAGTAAAAACAAGTAACCAGCTTTGCGTCGGAACTCATCCGCGCAATAGATGTAGCAGGATTGCTCCACAGTAAGCCATTCCTTAGAAAGGAGATCGTATCAATAATCAACCTGAACCAAGCTAAACCATCTTTGAACGCAAAAGTAAGTGCAGCTTAAGGTCCCCTAAAGGTTCATCCTCATCATCCTCTGATGAAGATATATCGCGCCAAACCACCATGGCGCTATGGCTCCTTCCCCCTGGAGCCTCAACGCCTACTAGGTTAGCGGCATCACCCATCTCCCAAGCCCCAGTTAGCTATTGGAAAGGAACTGGTTGCAACCGGAAACCGATATATATGTGTGTCAACATCCGTTTACTTCCACAAATGATCTTCAATCCGACCAAAAAACACAGAAACACAGAATCCTAGCATGTCATTGCCAGGTGCCATAATCCATGAATTTCCATGATCTCACCATCACCGACCGCATCACCGACCGCATCACCAGCACCTTCAGCTCGATCGGTTCGGCTGGATATTTCGCCTCAAACATCTCCAAGACCTGCTTCGAGATACAGCAAAGATGGGGGGCTGAAAACAGTAAACCCTTATTATTATAGCGTTTACTCAATAAATATAAACATCAAATAAAATTTGAAGTCAACTGAACACTAAACACCAAGAAGCAACCAACAGACATATTTGAAATAGATGGATGATTCTAGTAGATTCTATGGATTTTGTTCATGAACTTGCCTTTGCCATCCAAGGGCGTTCCAGCAGCTCCCACAGGGGCGCCGGCCTTGCTCATGCGCATCTTCATGTGAGCCGTGTCACCCCGGCCGTCCCAGAACGGAAGAATGTACCTCGGCAGAGCGCATTAAAAAAGGGCCGTTAGTGGAAAAGTAAACCGCCCATCCCATTATCGACATTATTGGTTGATTATTCATGTTTAGTTTGTTATGTTAGATTCCATGATCATTTCTCATTCACCAGAGTAGAAGAGCAAACCGCCCATCCCATCCGCAAACAGATGATCGTCAGGGCACTCGTTGCCATGGTGCAAGCAGAAGTCCGTCCAGTTGGCAACGTCTCACAACAGCAGTGGTCACGCTGTGGGGTTTTGATCACATGGCATCAGCTTTTTGGAGGATGAAAACATGACCAAAAAGACAGGCGAAAAGGCGAAATTTCCCGAGTTTACTGCGACAATTCTTTTTGGGTTTATCCTTGTCTGGCTAATTTTTCAGACCCAACAAGACCCTGGCTGGGGTCAATTCTAGGCGCATTCCAATCCCGGCAACTGTGCTGACCCCTGGCCGTTTGGAGGTTAAACCTGCAATCATATTGCTGCTACCCGGTTGATATCACTGCAAGCTACTCATTTTTTTCTTGTTCAATGTTCCATTAAACTATATCACATCAAATCCTACCAAATGAACATGCTTCAGAAAAGTCATGCACTTATACAACTTATACGTTATTATCATCCTGTATCATTATCCTTACATGTGTATATATATAATTATATACATGTGAAAAAAAAACATGATCCTTACTTGACATATTACGATGTATATATGATGTATACATGAAAAACAACAAATTATCCTTGATATCTTCAAGGCCATGAACCTCGGCATATGCCATGGCTGCTCCACACCTTCCACGTCACTGAGTTTCAACTCACCAGCCTGTCTCATGGGAAGATGATGGGATGATAGGCTGGTGAGTTTTGTTAAGTGAGTTTAATGGACATATCATGGGATTTCCATGGGGATATGATTGGGATCATAAGTAAAAATATGGGATTCATGTGATTCTAATGAAATATATAGATTTACGTAGGGATTTCATGAAAAAATAATGGGGGTATCATGGGTTCTATGCTCTGGTATTCAAACGTGGCTGGAACATTCCCTTTCAATTGCCATGTTTGATTACCAAAGGATAGGTGGGTTGAAAGTGATAAGGCAAGCTGGGAACCATGTGCTCACTTCAAGCTTCATTCTAGTGGAAACTATGTGGATTTGCCAGTAGAACTATATAGGGTAAGCATGGGTACACTTGGGGGTTTTCAAACATTTGCACCTGATGATTCCTCATGATTCTGTCTGTCAAACAAGAATCAGTTTTGTATACCAATTCACTGTTTGGGGGCAAACGCATCTTGAGTTGTCTCAAATTTGGGAACCTGTTATTCCGTGGTCTATCGACGGTTTCCACGCTAAATTTAAGCCATCAGTTGGAGGTAAATCCCTTGTTTTGAGACACACCCTCATGTATAAATTAATTGAGAGGTACAAACCAACACATTGCTGAATAGGGTCCCATTCTTGAGAGCTTGCATCCCCACTCTGCACGGTGTTGGGAGTTGTGCATAAAGTTTTGAACAAAAATGAGAGTTCAATTACTGGCTAATCTCCATTTAATTACCCTCTGGTAAACTAACATAACTACGTATGGAACATCACATGTTTTAATGGGACAATCCACTATAAATGGCCATTTTCAATAGCTATGTTTGTTTACCAGAGGGTATCCCTAATGACCATCCCCAGTTGATCGTTGATCCCAAATCTTCATTTCCAATGTTTGATGGTTTAATCTCAATGGGAATTCATCATAATTCACCAATCTGAAGAAAGTTCGGTCATGGCTTGCGATAGTTACCCCATATGCTAACCCCTACAAAAACCACCATGAAATATTGGTAATTATCAATGATGTCCATTGAAATACATATTCTCATGGTATACCACCTAGAAATGAATCTGATATGATTAAGCAATGGGATAATTACCTCATTATATTTTGGATAGTTCTAGAATTTATCATGATAATTACCATTTTACTAGATATTCATCATGATCATCACCATTTTACATCATTTTACACCATAGGAATTACTATAGGCAAATAATCTATCCAAATGAACATCTTGCGCCCTCTGATGTCGCCCACCTTCTCAGCAGACCAGGTGCAATCCATAGCCCCACTGGGCCTGGCGATCGACGGTCACGCCTGGGTCCATATCCTCAACACCGATGGATCTTTCATTTCTCCAAATGTCTTAGACAAATTATAATGATTTTCCATCATTTCAACATCATCAAGTATAGATTCACTAATACATTAATCATATAGTATTCATTATCATGTACCCTCTGGTAATGACTACCAGTTTGCTATTGAACATGGCCCAATGAAATAGTCGATTTACCTATATTAAAGATGCTGATTGTCCATATAAATCACCATTTTCCCATGGTTTTCCTATGAAAGATGGTGATTTTCCAGGCCGGGTATGATCTCCTCCACGTCACCAGGTCCGTCCAGATCCCTACCATTGGCCTGGCACATCTGCCTCCCGGCATGGTCGTGCAGGTGGCTTTGGCCACCAGAGGAGTGGTGGGACAAAGTCCAGGCAAGGAGTACCACACCTACCGCTGAGCGGCTGAGCAGAAAAACGTCACTTTAACATAGTCTTTTATCAACCAACAAATGGGGAGATCATGGGGAATTTGATGGAACTTGATGGAATTTGATGATAAGAGCACCCAATGGTGGAGCTTTTCAAAGAATCAACATGGATTAACGAACAAAAAACACTACATATTGGATATCCTGGGATATTTAATGATATCAAGAAAGAAACCCCAATAGAAAAAAAATGCATGTGGGTGGGAACTAAGCAACAATAAAAAACATGGGATATCAACCAATAAAATTAGCAGAACATAGTAGAATATGTGATCTAGAGTATCACTTGGGTTTTTTTCTTGGGATATCAACAAACAAAGATCATAAAAAATGATAAAACACATCAACCAAGGAAACTACACTCTGGCAATATTTAAAATGGGATTTCCTCCACTAAACATGGGATATCATGGGATATCAACCTATTTACAGATGTTTTTGTCCCACTAAAACCTCCATTTAGTTCGGGGATTTCCCAGCAATGTAGCACGAATGCCAAGAGACTGCACCGGGATAACCAGACCTCGGGTCGATCTTTTTTACACATGAATTGCCACATCAACCATTGGTTACCCTCTGGTAAACTAACATAACTATGGAAAGATCCACCATCTTTAATGGGTAAATCCACTATTTCAATGGCCATTTTCAATAATTAGCTATGTTTGTTTACCACAGGGTACATCCCTATGATTTATAGATGTCTATGGATGTTTATGATCCCAAATAATCCCAAAACCATGGTGTTTTCACGTGTTTTCATACCCGTCTAAACCATGTTTTCCGGGTCGTGCGTAATGTAAGGGGGAAGGGATGTTGATGCTTGATCCAGGCATGATAAGATAGAAAGATCTGAGTGATATCCATATATTGTCTGGACTTGAGGAGAATTCCTTGTTTGACCTGGGTTGATTGCTACACTGTGTAGTTTACATAACGACCACGACTCATTATGAGAGAATTCACATCCAGTATATTCCAATATAATCTGCAAGTCGCTGAAAAATTGATGATCCCGTCCATTTGTTAGCAAAGCTACGGACCGTACAAACTCTGTCATGCCAAATATGTGACCAACGTACAAGACAACTACCATGAAGAAGGATACAATGTGGGTAAAACCATAATAAACCATCCCCCAAATCACAATTTTTATGGGTATAAACAATTCCCAGTCATGGGTGGTTTATGGCATTGTTTTTCCCAAATTACTATGAATCCATGATATACATGATATACCCTCTGGTAATTTGTTACATAGCCATTGAAAATCACCATTTATAGTGGATTTACCCATAAAAAATGGTGTTTTTCCATAGTTTTTTGTATGTTTACCAGAGGGTACATGATATACCGATACAAAAAATACCGCTACCATTGGACCATTCTCAACGTGCCGAAAACCAGTTGGGCACCAGCTGGGCTCCGAGAGGCGCATCTTGGTACTGGCAGCCGACGGTAAAACCTGCAGTTTTCTGAAAGGGAAACTGATGTATATATATATATGTTGAGAACCTGGTTCTTCACTGGTAGCCTCTCTCCAAAATCCCAAGAAGCTAAATCGGTGTCACTCCGTTTTCCCAAGCGCAGCACAACGATCGTCTCGGAACTCGCACGGCAGCAAAACCGGATTGCCAGGTGGTTGGCGCGGCACAAGGAACTTGAATGCTGGCCACAGCAAATGGAAAGACTGACCTCAGTCTTATGGCCCAAGCACTTACCTCAAACCCACCCTCCGCGGGCTGCCTCAGCCGAAAGTGGCTATGGCAAGGAGCATGCTCATCCCCTGAAAAGAAGCTGGTGAACAACTGATAACAGACTGGGATCAGTTATGGATTCACACTCTCAAAAGAGGAATTTTCAAGACTTTGTTTCTTCGATTTCTTGATTTGATTGAAGCCATTTGATTCTGTTTCGAGTGCATGCACGTTCTTTCAAAATTTCCTTCTCATCCTGAAGGCTGTACTGGCCCAGCTGGAGGGTGTGGCGTAAAAAGTGGCTCTCCATGATCTTTGTCAATGCATCTGCTAACTGAGCACCACTATGTACCCACCTCAATGTCGTCCCTTCAGCTAAGAAATCTTTGATTGCACGTGCCTGCAATTGTGTCCTGAACTCTTGGCACGCAGGGGGTGCCGTCCTTGTCACAAGGTCATACAGTGATTTGCAGTCGGTGACGGCGATAGATGGATCAGCTTTGAAAGTGGCAGTGGCATACGTTGGGGGTAAAGTTTTGAGGGTACTTGTAGGAGTCTTCCAATTTGTTTTGGGGTTTCGGATCCAACTCCAGAATAGCCTAAGCCATGAAAGTTGATCGAGAGTGGTACTGAGAGATGTTGTTTCGGCTGACAAAGTACTGGTTACGACCCGTTGTATTTTCTTGCAACCCCAACTGATTGGGTTTACGGGGCATACATGATTTTTGGCAATATCTTCATGTGTTGCCATGATCATCATTCCGGTATGTGACTCTGGTTGTTTTTGAGATGCAAAAGATGCGTCAGAAAAGGCCAAAAACCTTATTCTTTCCATCGGTATTGATTGGATTCTGATGGTGGTGTTTTTGTGTCTCTTGGCTTCATGAAGAACTTTGTTTCCTTGAATGAGAGTTTCAATGGTTGCTTTGTTGATGTCGCTTTGAAGAAAGCTGAGTCTACTGGATAGATCAGGTCTTGTATTCACTGATGCATACTGAAGGGATCCAATCAAGGCCCGGAGATCTTGGCGTTCACGTTCGGTCACTGGGAGATCGAGCTGTGCTGTTCTTTGTGGTTGAATGTGGATGGGATTTATTTTGGTGATATATTTTTCTTGTGACATAGTTATACTGTGATCATTGTTTTGAGTCAATTCAATTCCAGTGAACACAAAATTTTGGGACTTTTTGGATCCAAACGGAAATTTGGTCTCAAGCTTTTTGAGTTGGGCAAGGAAATAGGTATCTCCTCCACACAAACCATCGTCGACATGTACACCTAGTATTCCAGAGAGTTCATTGGTATTCTCTTTATATAAAAGGTACAAACATGGATCGAATGGTGATGGGATGAAGTTGAGGGTCCTTAGGGTCTTATCCAACTCAGTAAACCAGAGAAACGGAGCATCAATTAACCCGTAGGCGGATTTTACCAACCGACAAACTTCAGTGTCTTTGAGCTGCATTGTGGCACTCATCTCGGGAACAGGTTCGATTGCAATCACTCGACCTTCCTGAGTCTTTCCCTGAAGGAACGCAGCTTTGATGTCGAATGACATGAGTGTCCATCGCATTGAAGCAATGACTTGAGCAATCAACATTTTTGATGTTCTTCCCAAAGTTGGACTATCTCTTGGAATAGTGTCTAATTGGGGGTCCTGAAAACCGAGAACTACCAGTCTTGCTTTGGCTTTCCTCATTTTTCCACCATTGGCCTGTTGGTCAGCAATCTCTGTGAGGGGCTTCCAAACATATAACCAGCGGCATCTCAAGATTTGGCTGGGAGACAACTCATGTCTAAACATCTTCTCAACGGTTCCTGTTTGGAGCCAGTTTTGAACTTCTTTGGCTTTTGCGCTCTCAAATTCCAAACGTTCCTCTGGAGTCAGGGTGCTCAGCTTGACTTCAGTTCTCTGTTTCTTGGCGTTGGTAGCCAGAAATAAAAACTCTTCTTCGGTGGGACATTCTTGAAACTGGCACGTTGATTCCAATTGGTCTTTGGAAAATTCTAGCTCGGCACGCCAAACGGATGTATCCCCTTCTGGACACACGTTTTCATTGGGATCATCATCCATGCATGTGAGCAGGTCGCACATGAGCTCATCGCTTGATTCATCAGGGAGTGGAACTTCATGTGGTTCAAGTTCTGGTGCATGTGAGTTATCGGGATTATTGATGGGACTATTGGAGTTGGGATTATGAGCCTGAGGTGTATTGGCATTGCCAGGTTCTTGGTCAGGTTGATCTGAAGATGAATTACTATGGGTCCTTTGGTGGTTATCGGATGTTGGAGGCATGTTATCCTCTGGTGGGATATTCACATTGGAACCTGTTGCTCTTGGGTTAATGGGATTTGGATTTGGAGTATTGATGGTGGTGGGGTTATTGTGAATGATTTTTAATTGTTCTTCCAAAGGTATGAGCTGAGCTTCCACGGCACACACCGGACGCACATGTTCAGGTGCTGCACGAACCAGGGTCCCAGAGTTATTGCAAAAAACTGTGGTGGCTCCCTCTTGAATGACAACTTTGGCGGGTCCTATCCATGAACCTTGATTCAAGTGTACCTCCCAAATCATCACCCATTCTCCCGGCTCGTAAGCACCTCTTGAGGGTCGATCTCGGCGCAGGGCGGCTCTTCGCAAGGACATGTCATTGTCGGCTGCATGGAATGCCTTCCTAGCAGTTTCCCTTTTTGCAAGGAGCTCTCTGAACCTGACACCTTGATTACCTTCTGCATTGGCAATGGCATGTGCTGGTAATGAATCGTCACTCACGACTGATCCGGGAACCCGCAGGCCTTTGCCAAACACCAGAGTTTCTGGTGAATACCCATGCCTCAAACCGCACGCATTCTTGGCCATGGTGCAGTGCATCAGGGCTTGCTGAAGTTGTTGATAGTTTGTGACATCATGTTCAAGCTCATACTTTCCGAGCATGTTTTGGAGGACTCCACCGTGGCGTTCAATGCGTCCAACTTGCCAGTGAGCGTCTGGCGGCACTACAACAAACTGTACATTCATGCTCTGCAGGTATTCCTGAAAGCTTGATGATAGGAATTCTGATGCAGAATCCATCAAGACAGTATTAGGGGTGCCCGCCCAGTTCAACCATCCGGAAGTGAACCTTTCTTGAATTTCTGCTCGATTTGGGGCAATCACTGCTGTGTGATAATTAGTACCATGATCAATGAAGTGATAGAAATGGAATTCTCGGTTTTGTCTGTTTTTCCACTTAACCCCATCGATAGATACCTTATCCCCAAATTCCAGTTCTTCCTTGAGTGTGGCTGGACGCTGCAACTTTGGACGCTGTTGCATCTGGCATGTTGAGCACTTCAAATCCAGTACCCCTTGGTAAAGTTCTGGGCTGTATCCTCGCTGTTGGAGAACTTTGCTAAGTTTCTGAGGATCAGGGTGACCTAGATTCTTATGCAATCGGAGGGCTATCTTCTTATTTTCGGAGTTCATGCTCATGAACTTCGGGCCATGTTGAGTGCTGGCTTCATCGATTGCACTTGGGTCTAGTGGTTCCTGGACGGGTTCTGGATTTGGCCTCTGCATTGGACTGACATTCGGTGTCTCTTCGGCTGGAGACATTGCTGGTGATCCTGATTCAGGCATGTCAGTAGGTGGCCTTTCCGAGGCCTGGGATTGGTCTGCAGGGGCTGGCTCGGATGCTTGAATTCTCACGCTGGCTACGCTGGGATCATGTGCATCTGGATTGCGAGCAAAAACTGTTATATTCAGGAAACATGGATGAGAGCGCCTCCATAGCTGCCTGTTGGAGAGATATTTCCACTCTTCCCATTGGTCTTCCACAAGGATCCTTTTTGTGACTCTCTGTACTATGATGGCTCTTCGAAAAGGGGCTTCATCTGGTACTAAGTCTTTTGGTGGCATTATTGTTCGCTCAGTCCCCTTACAGGCAACAACCCGAACAATTTGTTTCTCATGGAACAACTCTTGGAGGTCAGCAAGTATTTGAGACTGGTCAATTTCTTTGCGACCTACTCGGGGGGCTACCTGAGATATCTGAGAACAAATGCGATCACATAGGCTATTCATGCTTGTGGCTTCTGGGGTCTTTCCGGAAGTTCTTCTTCTTTTGGCAGGCATTTCGGCAGGCTCGATCAATTCGCTGTTTCTCAGTTTGGCTCGTTTCAGAGGAGGCGCACTGGAAGCACTGTTTCTGCGTTTGTTCACAACGGCAAATGCACTCGCAAAGGCAAATGGGACCTCTTTGGCACATGAGATTTTTGTGAGGACTTTTGCAAGAGCTCGTGCAAATTTTCGGTTATACCTTTCAGAAAATTCTGTTCTTCTGATTCTGATACCTCTGACAGTGGTCTCACCCGCTAGTTGTTGATGTTCATGTTGATGGTTGCATGTTCGACCGTGAAATTGTAGGTAAAACTGTTGTGATGTGGTGGCAATCTCCATTCCCTTTTTGTACAAAAGTTGGTTGATTGGATCCCTCATGAGTCCAACACGGCACATGTCAAACTCTGCGACCTGTGTACCTTGGATGACCTCTTTCAACAATGGGGTCCTCAACATGATTGACTTGGCTGGTTGCTCCCAATGCATGTGACATCCTCGGCAAACTTGGTGGCGGTACAAGACCAAACCTAGAGCCAACTGATACAGGTTTTCATCTCTGAGGTCTTGAATCCTCTGAAAACTGGCTTCACTTTTGGATTCGTTCAAATGACTCCAGGCGCACCATGGCCCACATGTTGGACTGTACCAGATATGTTTGGGACTACAGGCATGGATCTTTGCAAACAACAATTCTCTTCCTTCTTTCGTGGCTGCATCCCCTTCTTGATACCCAAACCTCACAGCTCGGTATCCCATGTTGTTCACTTGTTTCGTAAGTTCACTCTGGGGACCACAAAGAACTTCCATTACCTGTACCATCGGCTCGGAACGAATGCTTGGCTTCGATGAGACTTCTTGCATTTCTTTGGTAAATTGGTTGACAAGTGATTGAAATTTCTTTTGACGGTGATTCATTTGGTTGCTATGGAAATTGATTGATTCAAAGTCCTGATCTATGTCTCCTGCCAAGCACAAATGGTCCATAGGATCTCTCACTGCCCGGGACGCAAGAGGCTCAGGATCTCTGTCAGGGCATTCTCCACAGCGAGAACGCGGTTCTGCATGGCGTTCATGTCTTCCTGGTATTGCATGGTCACCGGCACGGTGTGGATCTGTTCCATCACATCCCATGGGTCGTTGGGATCTTCGCTCATGACGGTCATGGCATCGAAGGGTGCCTGGTTTGTCATGTGGGCTGACGCTTTGGCTTTGGGGTGTACTTTGCAGCGAGGCTGTACAATCCCCTGTTGCGTCTCTGTCTCCTCCAGGGTTGGGAGACCATTGCTGATCTCGAGCTGTTGCACCATCTTTTCGACATAGATGATCAGCTTCTTGTGTTCTTCTCGTTGGCTGTCTGAGTAGGTTCGGATGAACCATTTCATCCACGACTTCTCTTGCTCCCACATCTCGAGGTATGACTTGCCCACATGCGCTTTTCCAAACGCTATCTTGCAGTTGCCCATCTCTTCTAACGTCTTCTGCTCGAAGGCTGCTATTACGTCGGGAGATGTCTGAGCCATGACTCGGTCCATTCGACTGGCAAGGCTCATGGCTTTGGCGATCCTGAAGGCTCTGTACAAGTTCAATGAACTTGGTTGAGGTGGTCTCGGGCCTGGAGATCTCGGCATGAACTGGATGATCTACAAACCCTTGGCATCGGCTGCCGCTATACACCTCTTTGCATGTTTGTGGACCATTGGGTGATTTCAAAACTGGCACCTGGATACCTGTGGCCTCGGCTGCACTTGAAAGGTCGACTGCTGGCTTTTGACACTCTGAAAAATCGCTGCTCACGAAGGTTTCGGCAGTGGACGGTGAGGTCCTGTTGTGGGGCCCCTTCTGTGCTTGGATTAGATCACGAATATCCAGCATATACAAACCTTTGGGGGTCAAATGCAATTTGACATCACGGTGCAAAAAGGGGCTTGACAGGACTTGACGCTCACTATTGATGCTTGCCCTCAGTGTCCGAATCAAGGTGTTGGAAAGCAACAAAGGGGTTTCACCCTCTACAATAGCTACCTTCAAACCCAAACCAATGGAAGTAAGAGGTATTACTAAGGCTTGTTGGCTATCCAGAGTTCCCTGATTACCAAATCTGAAAGTGATTTCACACTTTGTTCGAAAAAGGTTCTTTCGGACATCATGCGGCAGGCTTTCAATGAACGCTGGCAGCAGTTTGCTGCCGATCACTGACTTCGTTGCGCCTGTGTCGAGTATGCCACTGGTACCATGGGTGGAGAAAAGAATCATCTCCGATTCAAAAGGTGTGCAGTCGTTCCGGATCTCCGTGTGCTTTTCGGCGAGGTTTTCATTCCTCGGGCCATGACTCTTCGGGTTATTTGACCTTACCCCCCAATACCCTTTCATTCGGAGGCGTTCCCGGAGTGCATGAGGAATGGCAGTTACAACATTAATTTCATGCATGCTAGGTTCATCGAGGGCGGCTTCATGTATGAGAGGCAGTTGCATGAACTCCATTGGCAAGGCATTGGGCTCGGATGCATCATCAAGGGGCTCAGCAGTGGTGGTCATCGCTGCTGATGTTCCGGCTGCACTAGTGGACGCGCTACCCCTAGATCTTTCAGGGCACTCAGCTTTCCAATGCCCTTTCTTCCCACAGATTCTACATGAGCTTTCGAGTATTCGTTGTTGCAAGGACTTCTTTGGAAATTTCCCAAAAGACTTTCCACGACCCTTGTTGGAGTATCCTTTGCCCTTCCCCTTATTGGGACCTACTGGCCAGAAACCCCTGTTCTTGAATCGATCAGAAAGCCTTTTTCGAGCCTCGGAGTACGAAGTAAAGGCAGCTGCAAGATCTTCATCAGATTGAACGGTGTCAGCCATCGCCGACTCATAGTCCGCGATGAGGGCTGCGTCCTCGTCAGCTTCTTGCAGTAGGCTCTCAAAGAACTCCTCCTCAGTGATCTCCTCGGTGGCATAAACCTGAGACTCATGTTGATTTTCATCATCGTCCTCCACAACTAGAGCTTGACTGTCATAGATCTTACCTCTGGTCTTCTTCTGTCCGATCATTTCATTGAAGAAAGCAGTTCCCAACATACGGACTGACTTGCTCACTTTGTCCACAGTTAACGTACCTTCCTTGTCAGCCCCACTCTCAACGATCACTCTCTTTTTGTCTTCCGTACTCAGAAGGGACCCTCGCAGGATGATGTAGGCATGAACTTCATCCAGATCGATCTTCTTGGACTTGAGTTCTGACCAGTTGACATCGCATCTTGCCAGGAAGGAGTCATTGGACTCGTCTTGCCGCTGCACGCACTTAAACAGTGCCTTTTCCACAGTTTCATACTTACGTTCCAAATTCACTTTGCCCCATTGACCACCAAGTGTGGTCACCAGCAACTGAATTCCAGCCTTGTCATTTGTGAGAAGCTTGTCACGGTTCAGCTGGAGCTTCTGGAACGCTGTCCCTGTAGTGTTCAGCATGAGACGGGTAATCAACTCATTCAGTTTCGATGCAGGCCAGATTTCTCCCAACAATTCTACCTTCTGAGTATATTGTTCAAGGTCATCCTTGGAGGGATCAAAACTCGGAACCAGGGTGGCCAGGTTGTTGGAGACATTGTTTGAAACTTCCCCTGTCTCACCTGCAGCCTGTGACATTTGCGTCACCCCTCGATGTTTTCACCAGAGAAACAAAATTGCCCTGGAGCGTTGTTGGTAGCTCCGCTACCAGTGAGAACCTGGTTCTTCACTGGTAGCCTCTCTCCAAAATCCCAAGAAGCTAAATCGGTGTCACTCCGTTTTCCCAAGCGCAGCACAACGATCGTCTCGGAACTCGCACGGCAGCAAAACCGGATTGCCAGGTGGTTGGCACGGCACAAGGAACTTGAATGCTGGCCACAGCAAATGGAAAGACTGACCTCAGTCTTATGGCCCAAGCACTTACCTCAAACCCACCCTCCGCGGGCTGCCTCAGCCGAAAGTGGCTATGGCAAGGAGCATGCTCATCCCCTGAAAAGAAGCTGGTGAACAACTGATAACAGACTGGGATCAGTTATGGATTCACAATATGTATATATATATATATCTATGTATATATATATATACATATATCCAAAACTATGGTTCCCATCCATTTTGCAGACAATGCCTCCTAAGTCAAGTTTGCTGTTCAAAACATTTAAACGAAATAAAAAAAAAAATCGCTTTGGATTAGTTATATTCAATGGATGATGGAAAAAACAATACTGGATCCAAAGCTGAAACCGTGGTAGTCAGACGGACAGTTGGGGTCATCCCGCTGCGAGAATCATCCAAATTCGTGGCGAAGAAGCCCAATAAACTATAATATATATATAATTACATATATATATATATATGTATTTATATGAACTATGATAAATAACTGAACGACTGAGCCAACTCTGGTTGATATATGTTGCTGTTCAGTTCCTAAATGATGATGATCCAGCCGATCCAGCCGATCCTCCTAGCGGACCTAGCTGCTCCAAGGGACCATGTCTTGAATAGTCTTGCGCACATTCGGGAGAAGTGCACATGCCCTGGTCGAAAGCCTCGGTATGTGAAACGTGAGCAAAGGAAATACACTCTAGCAAACCCCAAAAAAGATAGAAAAGTCATGTATCATCATGTATCACTGTATATTATCGTTTCTGTTTTTGGAGCTTGCTATAGATGTAAACATAAATGAAAACACACACACACATTTCTATCTGATGAGTGCTTTTGGCCCGATCATTGGAGATGTCGATCAAGTTTTGATGTAACTGTAAACATGACATGACATGACTCCATTTCTTGATGATTCTCCACATTATTATGAAAAATGGTGGTTTTCCCCCATCTTTTGGACAGCCCCTGGTGCATGGAGGTATACAAAAGTGATCAAAGGTGCGCGCCAAGTATCCCAGAAGCGCGAAAAGTTGTGCTGGAAGAGCACCGGTGTCTTGATGGACACCTTGAAACCTGCCAGAGGTATCAAATATCCATGGAAAGGGTCGTTCACCAACAAGAATTCGCATGGAAAATCGTCCACCAACAAGAATTGGCATTTAACCAATAAACATGGTGATTTACCCATGGACGATACGGTGATAATTCAACACATAAGAGATAACCTCTGGTTTCATCAAAACCATCAAACCTGGGGAACTCCCCATTGTTGTGAAAATGCTTTGGAAAATCACCATTCATCATGTTCATCAATGGCATACTCGCCGGTAATTTAACAGTTTGCTATTGAAAATGGCCCGTTTATACAGATGTTTTACCTATTAAACATGATGATTTACCATACTTATGTTAGTTTACCAGACTGTAGCATCCTATTCTTGCCAATCATCACCAACAAAATTATCCACCAAAATCATCCTCCAAGCAACGGAGGATGCGGGTGATGTTGTAATGCCTGGGACATTGTGGAAAAACAACCTCGTGCTCCAAGTACCACAGAAGCCCCGCCAAGTTGGCCGCGTTCACATTCTCAAAGTCCTCAGAAGCCGAAACCATGGTGTGTAGTGTGAGGAAAAAAACATGAAACCAAAGTTGAAATGAACAAGTAGGATAGAACATGATAAAACATTCGGGAACATATGCTTCGACTATCTTCAACTACTTTCACCCCTGAAAATTGGTCCTACTTGGTCCTTGCATGTCGTCAAAGAACAGCCAATGGATGGCCCTAGGTATCCCAGAAGCCCCTCATTGTCTAGCCGTGCGGCGTAATCGTTGTCGCTTTGTGCCCTGTACATGTAGAAGGTCGTCAGGTCCTTGGCAACCATCTGCAAGAAAAACGGCATGTTGGGAATGTGAATGGAAAGGAATGGACCATTAGACCCACTAGGGTCAAATTTGAAGGCCCAGCAAAAACTGGATGATCTACATTGGACATAGAGCTTGGATTTCATTAAACACGGGATAAATTGCCATTCAAACTAGGCCCTTCATCTTCAACCAGAACATCTAGGCCTTTCTTCCCATAGATCTTGGGTCAACTGATCCGAGCAAGCTAGATTTCTGCTATTTTTCGAACAGTGGAGGTTGCTGAAAAATTCATAAACTGGGGGATCACAACATATCACAACCCACCACTGTCAAACAGGATGCTTGGGGGAGACCTGAGACATAGACTGACATAGACCCTGATGATTGACATAATAATGTCGACCGCACAATAATCTAAAAACTTGGATGATAGTTCAATCATGTCTGCCTTTCAATCCAGTTTGTGGGTCACAACTGCCATCTTTGCGTGTGGATCTTGTATCTCACACCCGGCTTCACTTTTCCTGTTTGAATCAACATTTCACCAAGTTGCTGCTTTGCTGCTATCCCCACTGTGTTTGCTTCAAGCTTCAGTTTTTCTCCCTTTCAGGGCTGAAACTCCCTACGATTGTCTATATTCGATGGTGAAATATGCAACATTCCAATGCCAAAACAGTGACTATATAAAGCTTAAATTCCAAATACTTGCAGAAAATCTGGATTTCTGTTTTTCGCTTCTTTTTTGTAACCCTAACATCTCCGAGCCGGAAGCAGCCGTTCAGCCGTTAAGACATCAGCGTTCTAAGCTGCCCAAGCTGCTCGCGTCGCCGGCGTCGTCGTGGTCGTCACCTCCAGCAGCGCCACGTCCCGGTCGCCACGGACAGGAAGCGGCGCCACGCGGGCCGAGAGGGCGAGGAAACCGAAGAACCTGGGCCCCGAGAAGGGCAGATGGCGAAGGGTCCTTTTGTTACCCACAAAGATATGGGATATCATTAAATGATAATATAATATATATATATATGTATATATAATTGCAAAGACTGCATTCCACCATTGGTCCAACTGCCTTTCCATGTCTCGCCCTTGGCTCAAGGGGACCGAGCCAATGAGCAATGCGTCAGCGATAGAAACAGGCGAGATCAGCTTAGGGTTCTGGCTACCACTGCACTTGCAGTGGTAGCGGAGCTAGGCTCCGATCTAGGGACGTTTCGTGTCTGAGGCGCGCCATGGAGGCGTCGGTACCAGTTCCAGATGAGAGATCTTCAGAGGAAGTTCAACCGCCTCGACAGCCTCCGACACCGAGGTCTGAAGCAGGCCTTTCGGAAGGTTCTAGTCGGGATCCATGGGCACGATCAGATCCATGGTCAGAAGGTCGCCAAGCCGCTCGACCACAACGAGTTCGAGCTCCAGCGTTGGAAGAGGAGTTCATGCAGTTTTTGCAGTGGCGCCAAGGAAATCAACCTGCCGCCCATGGCCTTGGACTTCACCCTGGCCTATCTGCAAACGTTGGACATGGTCTTTGGCAAGCAGCTCGAGATGAACAAGAGCGAACGACAGCTGGCCCACCTCCTGAATGGGATGGCACATCAGTGGAGTTCCGTGACTACAAGCTGAAGGCACGAATTTGGCTTAGGACTACGAGGACTCCGGCCCATGCACGTGGACCACTGTTGTTGAAAAACTTGTCAAAAGGGCCATGGGAAGATTTGAAATTCCTAGCCAACGATGAAGAGTGGATGACTGACCCTGACAACGGTAACAAACTGATCAATCTCATGGATACCAGAGAGTTTTATGGAGAAGAGAAAAGGGAATCCATGTTGTCAGCATGTGCAAGGTTGACATATCATTTGAGGCGTCAGAAAGGTGAGACAGCTAGAGCATTCATGACCCGTTGGGACACTGCCGAACGGAAGATTCGAGAACATGATGTTCGACTACCTCAAGAGTACTTAGGATTCTTGATGGTGAATGCGTTGCAGTTGGACTCTGAGAAGACCAAGTTGCTGCTGAACTACACCAAGGGATCCTTGCAGGTCGCGGACGTGAAGGACTGGCTGAGGATCCACGAGACTGACCTTGACATGAGCAACCTTGGCAACGACCGGAAGAAGACGGCCGTCAACTTTTTGATGGACTCCGAGGATCCCAAGGAGATTCAACTCATGGACATTCCGGAAGAGGGCGATGTGGATGAGAATGACATCACAGACCTCTTGCTGACAACTATGGCTGACCTTGAAGAGCCCAATGAGAACCCTGAGGATATGGTCACTTTGACCGAGGCAGAAACGAAAGAGATCTTGATGACCATGGTGAAGGACCACCGCAACAAAGGGCGAAACTATGCCAGTGCCATGAAGGCCAAGAAGAACAGAGATCTGGCTCGTGGATATGGAGCTGGACGAGACGGTATGCTTCGCCCTGGCACCTATGAGGTTTCGATCTCTGAGCTCAAGAAGCGGACGAAATGCAATGCTTGTGGCCTCACCGGGCATTGGGCCCGTGAATGCCCAACCAAGCCCAAGCGCAGTCCTGACCACATGGCCAAGAACGACCATGGCAAGGGCAAGACCAAGGAGGTGAACTTTTTGGCCCAGGAATCGACCGGTTTTCCAGAGAGCGAATTTTTCTATTTAGAGATGGACCAAGCCAACAGCAGCAACTGTCCTGCTGATGGCGATTCACAGTTGGCGCCCGCCAATCGAGAGTACATGATGCGGCCGACCATTTTTCCATGTTATCACATGACCACAAATTTTGATGATTTGGGATGTGCAACTATTGATACAGGTTGTCAACGGATGGCTATTGGACTCAATACATTAATTCAATTACAGAAAACTCAACCATCTCGATTGCCAGTGAGTTTTTGCAATGAAACACATCAATTTCGAAGTGTCCACAAAGTTTCATGCACGAGTCGACTGGCGTGCATTCCATGTAGCTTGGGTCCACGTGGTTGTATTCTTCGTCCTGCACTTTTTGAAGATGAACACAGTTCAGATGCCCCTTTTCTGTTATCATTGCCTTTCCTTTTACATTGCCAAGCTACATTACATTTGGATGAATCACGAGGTCTTACACTTATTTCTTCGAAATTTGGTTTCAAGGTGGCATGTCATTTGGGTCCGACAGGTGCACTTCGTATTCCTATTCAACAGTTTTCGGAAACAATGATCCAATTTTTGGAAAAGCAAGTTTCAAGAAATCGAGATGAGTATGAGCTGATGCAGACCATTGCAGAACCAGTTGCTCATCGGCAAGCGTTTGGCTCAGCTGCTCAAGATCAGTGCCCTGTGGCAGTCGATAGCAAGTCTCCGGCCCGTGGAGCAGCCCCCTGTTCAAATCCCAAAGATGCATGGCAGCCGCGCCAAACGTGGTCGCAGCGAGAACGTGAATCAGTTCGTTCTCCAAGCCTGGGTGCGCATGACACTGAAGGCCATCATGATCATTGGCCGTGCTCTTTCCCATCGAGTACATCACCACTTGAAGATTCCCGGACCACGAGGGGTTTTGGCACGCCAGATGATCGAGATGGGCGATTTGTTGGAGAACAGTCAGCTCGAGCGAGTGGTGACCGAGCTGAGCCAAGTTCTCCACGATCGCTCTCTGCAAGGAGCGGTGTCGAGGTCTTCTACCCCAACGGAATGGTCCAAGGTGACATCAACAGCATCACCATTTCGGAAGATGGAGTCACCCAGGCGCGAGGCACCTACTACACCCAGGAGTATGCCAGCGAGCTCCCATCAATATCAACCGGCCACGCCAGATCGGCGAATGGCCAGCATGTGGGACATTCCGTCCAACCTCGACCTGAGTCGGGACAGCCCGCAATGTCATTGCGGGAAAGAGGCCATGCTCTGGATCTCAAAGACAGAGCGCAATCCAGATCGACTTTTCTGGAAGTGCGGTCGGGAGAGGAGTCAGCAGTGCAGTTTCTTCCAGTGGCTGATGTATCAACCTCTACGCCCAGACCTTCAGGGGAATTCCAACATGGAGTACTTCACCCGACGTCAGCAGGACATGTGCTCCCACAAGCGCACCACCAAGGAGGGCTCCAACGGCCTCAATTCGAAAGTGAAATGCAAGGATTGTGGGAAGCTTCTCTCGGACGAGAAGACACCAGTGGGTCTCATGTTGCAGCAGAAGAAGAATCGAGAGGCTCCCACGACACCAATGTCGCAATCCTCAACGGAGACTCAGCGCAAGATGGAGCAAGACAACAAGGATTTCCAAGAGTTCCTGATGTGGCGCCGTGCCCAGGAGGAGATGCAGAACAACTCGACGGCAAGACCTTCGAGCCGCATGGGACTCTTCATGTGAGTGAGGGCCATCAAGCTGAGTTGAGACCGGGTTTGCGACGGCATATTTTCGGCTGTTTGAAGCGAGCAGAGTTATCATGGTTGGAGATTCACCGATTACTCTGTGAAACATCTGATGACCATATTGATCAAACATGCAAGTTTATTCGAGAGTCGCTTCAGTTGCAGCAGCCACATCTCAGATATATGGCGGATTTATATCTTTTGCAGCCAAAACAGTTGAAGACCGTGGCCGAGGTATGCAATCCAGGTCGTTTTTCTTCTCAAACAGATCATTTTGGACTACGTTCAGGTCAAGCTTTTGATTTAGAATTGGGTTGGAACTTACTGGATTCAAAACAGCAACAATCGGTTTTGGAATATATTCGAACGGAAAGACCTGGACTGACAGTCATTTCCCCACCGTGCGTCAAATTCAGCATGTTACTCAATTTGTCATGGCCAAAATGGTGCGGAAACCCCAAGAAATTTGATCAGCATATCAAGGAACTTCGGGATGCCAAGAAACTTCTCAAATTTTGTGCAAAGGTTTGTGAACTTTGTAGATCTCTGGGCTTGAGTTTTCTTTTTGAACATCCGTGGTCAGCAAGTTCATGGCAGGAACCATGTTTACAATCACTGTTGAATTTTGATGACTGCTATTTGGCACGTGGTGACCAATGCATGTTTGGACTAGTCACCAGTGACAACGAGCCCATGCGGAAAAGATCAGGTTTCCTCACCAACAATTTTTCCATTGCACAAGTTTTGGATACCACGTGTGACAACTCCCATTCTCATCGGCATGTCATGGGCCGCGACCGTGGCGCTTCGATCAACCGTTCGAGATTGGCCCAGAAATACCCTATGAAGTTGGTGAACGCCATTCTTCTGGCTTTTGCAAATTCGATTGGTCTTCCTCAAGACTTGCTCTATGTGGTGGATGGTCAGCGAACTTTGGAGCATGAACAACATTTTGAGATGAACTTGATGCTGGCTGGTGAAGATCCTACCGTTCTTCAGCATCGTCTACCTCCACCACAAGTTCAACTTTCAGGACAAGACCGACCTGGTGATCATACAGGAGCACCAAGCCCTGGAAATTGCCATGATAAACCTGCTGGTGATTGTCCTGTACAAGATCTTCTGGCCGTGGAAGAAGATGATGCACCACCACCATCAGATCCACCAGCAAACCGTGAGAACTTTCCTGGAAGTCACCCTTTATCCCTGGAGGCACTTGTGAAGCGTGCCCACGATGGTCTTGGACATCCAGGCAAAGATCGTTTCGTACGTATCCTTGCCAACAGCAAGGCAAGCCAGCGGGTTCTGGACATTGCCAAGAACTTGAAGTGCTCAGTGTGTGAAAAGTTCAAGCTGCCAAAACCTTCTCGAGCTGGTGCTCCCCCTCGGGAGATTGGGCTGAACGAGATTGTCGGCGTTGACAGCTTCCAGGTTCGAGTTCCATTTTCAAACAAGACCAAATACTGCCTGAACGTGGTTGATTACGGCAGTCATTTTCAGATGGTCATTCCGTTGAATGGCCATACCGCTCATGAGACTCGAGCTGGATATCGACTATGGCTTAAAGTTTTTGGACCTCCTCGAAAACTTCTTTGTGATCTTGGACGTGAATTTCAAAAGGAGTTTGAGAACTTGGCTGAAGCCGATGGCACGGAACTTTTACCATCATCACTGGAGACGCCAGAACAACGTGGTTTTGTTGAACGACAGGGCCAACTTTTCAAAGACATGTTTTACAAGACCATGGAGCAAATCCAGTGCTCTGACTGGGCCTCTTGGCACCAGACCCTGGATCTGGTTTGCTTTACAAAGAATCGACTTCTTTCCAGAGGAGGATACTCACCAGCCCAACGAGTTTTTGGTTATCAACAACGAATCCCTGGAGCACTGATGTCTGAGGGTGGATCAGACCTTGCAGTCCAAAGTTTGGCATCTATCGGAGACACCGAAGTTGCCAGGGCTATGGAAATCAGAAAAGCAGCCTCATGTGCCTTCCATGAAATAGATTGTCAGCAAGCTGTTCGAGCTGCAGCCACTCATGGACCTCGTCCTCATTATGCGTATGAGACGGGACAAGCCGTCTACTTCTGGAGAAGAGGCACTGATGCAGCACGGAAACCTGCAATCTATTTCTGGCATGGACCAGCAAGGGTAGTGGCCACCCAGCTACCTCATACAGTTTGGCTTTCCTACAACCACCACCTAGTAAAGGCAGCTCCAGAAAAACTTCGACCTGCGTCTGAAGAAGAGTTCTTTTCACTTTCTGGTTGGCTTGATGGAATTTCAAATGCCAAGAACCAGTTTGAGGCAGAGAAGATCAAGGGCTTGATTGACCTCTCAAAGGAACCAGAAGGACCACTGCCAGATGAAGAACATGACTACTGGCGACAATCTGGTAACTTTTGGATCCGAGTACATGTGGAGCCCCGAAAGGAGTTCTTCCAGCCGATGAACTCCGACCCTGATCTGCCCTTTCTGACGGAGCATTTGAAGCCTTGGCGAAAGACAAGGATGATTTTTGATGGAGGTGCGGAGGAAACCATTGAAGACAACTGGACCTTTCAGGCCAATGTTCCTCCTCATGGTGAATCATGGACTGGAGAGACCTGGTTTGAGATGCATGATGGCAATCAGCCACCACCTCAGCTTCATAAGCGAGAAGTACAACCAGAACCGCTCCCACGACGGCTACGCCAAAAGACTTCTCCAGTCGAGATCAACAATCCGGTCACGATCTCTCCACCTCCTGGCCTCCCGGAACCACCCATTGATGTGGACCAAAGGTCAACTTCATCATTGTCTATGTCTCCAGAATCTCCAATTCCCACAGAACTTGGAAAAGATGAACGCTCTGACCCTGGAGATGGAGCTCCAAGTGATCCCAGACCAGAAGACATTCCGATCCCTGACTCTGAAGCTGGGGATCGAAAAAGAGATCATGAGTTGGTTAGTCAGGCAAGTTCTGATTGGGAAGAAATCCCTGTGACCAAGAAGAGCCGATTGGAGTTACTGGAGATCTACTACACTGAGTTGTCCAACAAATCGGCCCAACGTCAGAAGAAAGGAAAAGAGTCCACATTTCGGGATTTTCCTGGTCGTGATGCGGAACGACTTCAGCGGGCAATCCACAAGGAGTTCAACAACAACCTTGCGACTGGGGCCTATGAGCTATTGGACCCCACTACGTCTGAGTTGATCCGACGAACTGCACCGGAGAAAATCATGAAATCACGCTATGTGTTGACCAAGAAGCCCATTGAGGACTTTGCCGTGGAAGATGCAATTTCAGCAGATGAGGTCTTGGATTCTTCATCACCCGACCAACCATGCAAGGCAAAATGCCGGCACGTGATGCAAGGCTACTCAGAATCAGCTCTTTTGGAACTTGAGACCAGTACTCCTCAGGTCCATCGCGATTCAGTGATTTTTGCTGCGCAATTGATGGCTAGCATGGGATGGTTACCAGGCTTCGCTGATTTTACTCAGGCGTTTCATTCTGGAGATCCGATCGACCGAGAACTATATGCTGAACAACCAGCAGAAGGTCTTCCAGGTGCCGCACGAGGACAATTGATCAAGCTGTTAAAGACTTGTTACGGATTGACTGATGGGCCTTACCAATGGTTTAAACACATTGTACGTTTCCTTTGCGAAGAACTTCATTACAGACAATCTGTTGTGGATCCATGCCTTTTCTTTTTGGACTCACATCCTGATCAAGATGGACAGTCCTATGTTGAAGGTGTTCTTGCATTGGCGACAGATGATTTGTTTCATGGTGGCTCGGAACGGCATATGCAAAAGATGCAAACGATTTGTAACAAGTACAAGCTTGGAAAATTCACATGGAATTCTGGAAGATTTGTAGGAAAAGAAATCACCCGCCTGGATGATGGGTCCATTCAGCTGGATCAACAGTTTTACACTGAAGCCCGAGTGGCGCCCATTCCTGTGACTCGAGAACGCAAACGCCGAAAATTTTCAGTTTGCACTCCAGATGAGATCGAGCAACTAAGGGCGTTAGTTGGTGTGTTGTCATGGCTTTCTAAAGAAACGCGTTGTGATTTGGCAGGAAGGACAGCTCTCCTTCAACAAGCGTTTCCTCGACCGCTGATTAAGGATCTCCTGACTGCCAATCAGATTGCCAAGGAAGCCATGGACCACAAGAACATCGGCATCAAGGTCATGCCCATCCCATTAGATCGTCTTCGAGCTGGCGTAGTCACTGATGCTTCGTGGGGCAACTCCAAGGAATTTGGCACCTACTTGGAGCAAGCTTCTGATGATTGGTGGGAAGAGACCTCAACGACATGGACACGTCGCCACGTCGTGGAAAGACGAACGGCATTTCATCCTGCTGCTTGTCCAGATGGTCCTGATCTTCACGATCTACAACCTATGAGAATCACCGAGATGAACGTTAATGACCGCATCTCGACCATCCGAGATGAGTGGACCACAAGTGATAGCCTTCGCCCTCTAGCTTCTCAATCTTGGACTGGCACTACAACGTTCTACAAGCAGGACAAGGGCCAGATGCTTGACTCCAAGGACATCCATGCTGGGTACGAGCAGTTGAATAAGCTCTACAGCCAGGGTGGCGAGATTGTCATCTTCTACGATCAAGCATTACCAGAATCTCAGAGTTTGCAAAATGTCTCAGTTGCGTCTTGGAAGAGCTATCGGCTGAAGCGACAGACCGTCAACACCTTGAGCTCTGAGACTCAAGCTCTGGTTCGAGGCCTTGGATCTGTTCACTGGTACCGGATCTTGATTTTGGAAGCACGGGGGTTGCAACTTTCAGCCCGAGAATGGCATCGTGAAGTCTCCCGTCTTCCATTCATCTGTGTGACGGATGCAAAATCTCTTTACGACGCTGTGAGCAAGTACACCAACCCAGCTTCTCAGTGTGGCGATAAACGAACCTCCATCGATATCTCTCTTATCAAGCAGGAAGTGAACAACCTCAACGGCAACATCCGTTGGGTGGATGGCCGAACTATGCTGGCAGACCCATTGACCAAAGAAACCAGATCCGATCTACTACGACATGTTCTTAGAACTGGTCAGTGGGCAATTCTTGAGGAGGGATCAGCCCTCCAGCATAAACTTTTGGAAAGAACATCTCGACACGAGGTGCATTTTATTATTTAGTTGGACCAAAAGAAAGTGTGACGAGTGCAAAGACTGCATTCCACCATTGGTCCAACTGCCTTTCCATGTCTCGCCCTTGGCTCAAGGGGACCGAGCCAATGAGCAATGCGTCAGCGATAGAAACAGGCGAGATCAGCTTAGGGTTCTGGCTACCACTGCACTTGCAATAATATATGTATATATATATATATAAAAATATATATAATGACTATAGAAGTGATATGACTAGAATATATGGGAATATATGGGATATGACTATAGTGGGTTAATGACACTAGATATGGGATATGGCAATATGCACCTGCACAAGTTACCATCAGTAAAGATATGGGATAGGACTATAGAAGTCGTGTGCCATGGTCAAGTTACATGGGATGAATGGGAAATGGCACCCCCATTTCATGGGCACGTCAAAACCGAATGGTAGCCTCAATTTTGAAGGCTCTTTTGTTTGTTATATTCTATCATATTGACTCATATTGCCTTTATAGTTGGGTTAAATCCCAAAAAAAGAAGCAGAACACGTGGGATTATCATGTGGGTTTGTCTATAGGGTAACCTCCAAATCCCATTGTACAAAACCTCCTGTTCGCCATGGGTCAAGACATGGTATATGGATGTATATGATTTACCCTCTGGTAAACTAACATAGCTATTGAAAATGGCCCATGCACAGTTGATTTTCCCATTGAAATTGGTGGATCTTTCCATAGTTATGTAAACGTTTACCAGAGGGTATCCTCATCCATCCCATTTCATGGGAATCCATAACCATCCTGTCATGGGAAAAGCTGTTTCCCATGGCACATCTATTGCGACCAGGCAGCAGCAGCGGCACGCTGGTTCCCAGGGCCACCTTGGAGAAGCAACGTCCAGCCGGAGCCGGGCGAATGTCTCGTTCCTGGGGCGGGATCTTTGGATAAACTAAGAGGTGAAACAGGTGAGAAACGAAAACAACTGCTGTTGAAGTGGGAAGTAGCTGTGTGTTTCCTAATATTTGCCATATGTTCAAAAGAGAAGAAGTATATGATTTGTGAATATCATGGCTGGCTAAGCATTAGCTCACACCAACAGTGACAGACCCTAGCAGGGATAAAAGGGGGTCCATAGCTCCAGCTTGATCCTAAAACCCAACTTATTGCAACAGTAGCACTCCAGGTATCAAAAAGGCTATGACTTTATAGTCAAATCCAGTTCAATTTGACTCAATGGCAGAGTTGGATACATGGCTTCAAATTATGCTACCAATTGATTTTGATGGTTTGCCAGCTATGTTCCGCATAAAGGGAAAACAAACATGTATACGGTATACCTAAGTTTTCAGGCAAACCTACTTCTTGACGATTGAGTGGTTGAATTCCATATCAGTATAACAGTATAAATCCCACTATAGTGGATATGATTTTCATATATGATATATGTATATACACTATATAGTATATTCAATCCCACTATAGTATATTATATATATATATTATATAATACATACCTGAAGGATCGAATGTATAACTTATTCTTGTTCGACCAAATCTTCTTGTTCAGACCAACTATTCTTGATCAAACCAACTATTTTTGGTTACTTCCTAAAGACCAATTGTTTTTGGTTTTTCTTGTTGGAAGCCACTTGACCCTTCGGCAGTGGCTTAGCTCAAGCCTTGCTGCAATCATGCCGGTGCGTCCCGCATGTTTTCCTTGCTGGGGCCTCATTGTGCTGCCTGTGAAACTTTCGTATCCATAAAGAACTTTTCTACCATATGCTTGCAAGAATGAGCAAGAATGGTTTGAGCATGGCACGTTGTGTGACAAGTATTCATGAGCCATCTTGGACATGTTTGGATATATACCGCAGGGTTTGCACCTCATATTTTAGGGTTCGCCACTCGGTGTGTGGAGCTGGCAATGGTGGAGGATGAGAAGAAGCTCATTGATCCAAAGTTTCCTTTCCGGGTTACTGACGACCAATGGGCTGCTGTCTTAGATCTAAGGGATAAACTGAAAAAGGATGACTCTTTCAAGTGCCGAGCAATTTCGGTCAAGAGTTTGGTTGATTGGCCCCCAAAGGGTGTTCCAATTCACAGCTGTCGTACACTTGCCAGCAACTTTGACTTACTTCACTTGGTAGTCCCTTACCTGAACAAGACCTTGGCTATCAAAAGGGTCCATTGCCTGCAGTGGATTCTTGAGACTGTGGTTGCTATCCGGTGGAAGGCTTGGTTGGGAACATGGGGTGTGATGGGGTGTGATGGGGTGTGATGAAAGAGTGTGATGTGAGACACACATGCATGTATACTTTGTTTCTGCTAAAGAGACCTGGGTTTTGTTGGAACAAGTGCGCCATTGCAGGTCGATGACTATACCGAAACACATGTCGAAAGGGATGCGCTTGCATTGCGCAAGATGATGAATCACCTGGTTCGCCTTCGGAAGAGATCTAAGAAACAGCGTGATAGAAAGGTACATCAATTGGCTGACCTCTTGTCAGAGACTTTACTAATCATTGTAGAGAGGAGTCTTTGTAGTTTCCACGTACAAGCATGTTTTGACACAACATGTTCTCTTATTCTTATGTGTTTCATTTGTGTTTCATGTGTGTTTCAAAAGTGTTTCATATGTGTTTCAAATGTTGAAAGAATTCCCTTTGTGCCCGGTTCTCTCAGGAAGATCTTCTCAAAGCTGTTGATGAAGATGATGACGATGATGATGAGGAACAGGAGAAGGGAGGGGAGTCGGAAGTGTCAACCCCTAGTGAGCCAGCCCCAGTTGTGAATCCTGAGACAGCTGCTCCTGATGTCATGCCTGCAACCTGTTCTTCACCAGCTCCAAGCCTTGCCCCAACCATGAGTGATGATGAGGGAAGTGTTGCAGGGTGTGAGCCGCCTCCATGTGATCCCTGTGTTGGCCAGCCAGTAGTAGAGCAGCCTCCTGCTGGCCCCAACCCGCTGGATGAGAAGCCTTCCCAGTTGGTTATGATTTCGGATGAGGAGGGTGAGGGGACCTGTCCTGTTAAGGCACATGATCCTGACTGGCCGGAGTGGTTTGACCCATTGGTAGAAGATTCCCAACCTGATCCCGATTGGCGTTACACTGCCCCAAAGCCTGAAGAACCACAACCTTCAGCCTCCACTTACAGTGCCATACTCAGGACTCATATTACGTTTGCTTCCCATTTCACAAACCAATGTTTACCCATGTTGGCCCTTATACAATATGTTTTGGTCTTGCTTGGAGGTTGCCTTTCAGCAGAGTTGAAGCAGAAGCTCCGCCTCAAGGTTGCCAAGATCCCAACTGATGTTCAACAGACCATCCCGCTTTCGGAGGAAGTATCTGAGGCGGGTTCCCAACAATGTGTTTCTATTAGTAGCTGTAGGCTTGATGTCCTGGTACTTTTGCCTTTCTCTACCTTCCTTTGTTTGTATCTTTCTGTCAAGGGCTGAAACTTTGAATAGCCCTTGAACAATCAGTTAAGATATGATACATGTCCACATTTGGCAGGCTTTGGCTGCCCAATGGGTCCAAGAGCAACAGCAACCTGAGGCAGGGTATGGGGTGTGTGTGTGTGTGTGTGTGCGTGAACATGTGGGCGCAAGAATGGTAGTTAACCAAAAACATCATTTAAAAAGATTGGGGTGCATGAGCCAAGAAAGCAAGACCAGTAAGGGTGACACCTTTCAACCTTGTTTAATCAGTTCTTTCTTCCCCGAGATGAATTTGTTTGCCGCAATCTGCAGGTGGTGGCTGCTAGTCCTGCCAAGCCTCTGCCTTCTCCAGAACCGGAGGTGCTGGGTGAATCAAAGGAGCAGGGTGGGCCTACTGACATGAAGGTTGATGAGCCTGATCAACTGGTGGCCGATGATGAGACAGAGAAGTGTTTTGCCTGTATATATAGATGTTTCGATATTACTGTCAAGTTTTCCCCCTTGACTGAACCACCAAATATAACCTTTCCATCCCAGGCTTCTCAAAGCCAAAACCTTGGTCTTGGGAGAGACTGACGATACTATCGAAGATGCGGGTGGTCCACCTCTTACCCGTGAGCAGCAGCGTGCTTTGAGGAAGTCTCAAGCACGTGGAGCTGGCAAGGACTTGCCATCAGAGGGGGGGAAGGGTCGAGGCCGGGGACGTGGGAGAGGCAGGGGGAGAGCAAAGAAGGTTGTTGAGGATTTGGATGAGGGTTCAGAGATGGAAGACTTGCCTGACCAACCTATTCAGAAACCAGCCCGTCGACAAACCAGAGCCAGAGCCACCCCAAAGCCGAAAGCCAAAGCGTCCGCAAAGTCAAAGGCCAAAGCAGCCCCAAAGTCCAAGGCGGCTAAAGCGACCCCAAAGTCCAAGGATTCCCCTTCCCGCAAGTCTCCAGCCAAGAAATCTAAAAGGGCCAAAGCTGCTGCGACCCCCGAAACCAAACCGAAACGAAAGCGCGGAGCAGCCAATGACACAGCCAATGACACTGAAACCACAGAGCCAAAGTGTGCCAAGCGTGGAACAAAACCTGCAGCTCTGGCTGTCAACCCTGTCCCCATGGAGGAAAGGAAGGAGTTGAAAAGGTTTTTCAGCTTGATTGTTCCAAGATTTTCTTGTGTCATTTAGTTTCAATGCACCTTGTGTAAACATGGGTGTATGTGTGGATCATCCATGCACATGTGCAACATGCATATTCAATCATATTCAATCATATTCATATATACGAGTTGTTACTTTTCTTGCAAGCACATGCATTTAAATAGTTTTGCAAGCATATGGCATTGTCCAACTGCATGTTTTATCTTAGGCTTTTCGTCGACAATCCCACGTACAGACTTGAAGCCTATTGGAGTCGATGCCAGATGGGGATTCGCCGTGTAGTGGATGATAAACATACATGGCTTGGGACCCATTCCAACATGCAGAAGAACATTGAGGCTGCCAACTTTGTGGAGCCTCTGCAGCATGTAATATAGGGCCTGCCCAGTCCAGCTATTAGCAGAAACACAAGACAATAGTTGTATTATGACTAATGCTTTTGACTTGTTGTCACTACAGCTTCCCAATCTCAGCCCATTCCCCTTCCGCGTCAGGTGAAATGGTTGACGGAGCCGGGAAGGTCATTCGAGGATCGCCTTGACCCAGAGCTTGCCAGAGGTGTGGCGAAGATTTTTGATGCATAGGTTTCTGGTGGCACAATCTAGCACATCCTAGCCAAGAAACAATACCGGTAATACTATTTTGCTTCCCTAATGTCAAAACATTCTGCTGTCAGAGTTGTGCTACAATGGTGAGGGTTAATCCTCAGCTGCCTTAGCCTATGGTTGCGGGGCATTTCATGGTATCAACAACAGTTGAACCTTTTCTGCTGAGCCTTGTGATCTTCATCGCAGGGATACATAGAAAGAACCGTGTGACAACATGTGACAATCAAGACTGCTTGGGGGAATGGCTAAAAACCAATGTCCGACGTGCGCCCTGCTTGATGCAACAGAGCAAATACCCACCAAATAAGAAACAGCATCATAACTTATTGTGTTGTTTTCCATTTGGGGTTGAGCAATTTTGGAAGGATGAAACCAATTTTCAAAATGGGCATATCTCACAATCCCAAAGTATTGCTTTTCAATCGAACAATAAAAAGTTTCGGGATCCTCTGTTTTGAAAATTCCCAAATGGTTCTATTCAAATCCTATAAGGGGCATGTTGCTAGAAATCAAGTGTACTTCAATTGAATTCTGAAATTGTGTGGCAGCAATCCCACTGGCTGAGCCACTTATCCATGCACCATCTGTTTTAAAAGGTCTTGGGGTTGCCTAACCATGCCCGCTCCGAGGCCTCCATGCCACTATCCAACAAGAGGTTGAAACGGAGCCTCCTGGAAGTCAGCGGGGCAGGTGTGGACAAATGGGGTGGGCTGCGGAATCATTGGGGGAACCTTAGGACTGTGAGCTGGTGAAGACATATGAAAACACATCGAACACATTTGAAAACATTTTTCCAAATTCTGCATTGGTCGCTCGTACCAGTTAGCACATTGGGGCTCTGAAACCAGCTGTAACTTGTGGCTTCGTGTGGCCATGAGAGCGTGGGATGCAGATGACCTCCTAAAGCGTCTGTATGTGGCTAGAATGCCCAAGGCGCGAGAAAGCTAAATGGTTTCCCGCTGACCCCCCAAGAAGCTGCTAAGGAAAAGTGGGGGTTCTTTTTGCCTGTTTTTAACTCTTTTGGCAGGGTAAAACATTGCACAATGCTTTAACTGTGCAAAATGCGTTTGTCTAGAATTTGACTTGTGTGTCGAGGGGTTGATTAAATCATTGGAACCAGGCGGTGGTTTCTGTGGCATTGATGCTCCTCTGGTCATACAACTTGGAAGTCTCTCGAGTATCATGGTTGTTTTAAGCACCCATCTTTTGAAAAAAAAACTGTGAGGTGGTATAGATTTCTTTGCCCCATCTCAAGAACTATTTGTCTCCCCCAGATGTGTAGCTGTAAGGTATGGCGCTTCGTTGAGATGTTTGCTGGAGAAGCCAATGTCTCCAAAGCATGCTTGGAGCGATCCCTTCCTGGAGTGAGCTGTGACTACATCTATGGTGGGAGAGCAATGGATCTAACAACACCTGCTGGAATGGCGTTTTTTCAGCTATAACTTGTGGAACATGTTGGGATTTGTTGCCCCCCACACTGTTTACGGTGATGTTCTTTTCAGCAACATGATAGGTATTAAGTCATAAATTACACTATTGATATTTGATTTCCACATCAAAATCTTAATATAAGTTGGTTTATATATTTGATTTGTGCTCCACATTCCCATCCCCAGCCCTCCTCCATATGCATCTGAGGTTAGCGATCCTGGCCGTGCTGCGGCCACAATCTCTGGGACTGCTGGCCCCTGTTTGCAGTTCTATGGGATGGCTAGTGTCCTCCTTGTCAAAGAGATCATTTGTACGTCCACTTGGTGACCCATCGGTTGATTTTGTTTCTGCGGGAAACTTACTTGCACTTCGGCCCCTTAGTATGGTTTCAGGGAGTAAGATTTTGGATTCTATGTGCCCATATTGGCGTGTGGGTTTTGATCTATATTATACTATATTATATATATATATATTATACTATTATACTGTATTATACATATATTATATTATATATTATACTATATTAAACATATATTTTACTATATTATACTATGCTTTAATACAAAGCCTGGTGTTGGGTTTCTTGAAACCTTGTCCCCCAGGTCAATCATCATATGCTGGCTACTGGCTGCATTGGGCCATGTGTTCATTCTGGAACAGCCACGTGGGTCGCATTTCCGCCATTTCCCACAGTGGCGATACTTTTGCAAGTACATTGCCGTGGATTCTTGGTAGTAAAACCATGTCACCATGTTTTGAATCTTGTATTTTTTACTCACCGGAATATAGGCTAAGGAATACAATCACCCAAGAAAAACCAACAACATTTGGGATAAGCAGTGCCTGTCTGGCCTCCTAGGTGTACAGGCATGGAATATGGATGAAACACTGGGGTTCTACATCGTGCAAAAGAACTTCACTTTGGTCGAATAGTTCAGTGGCGCAAGAGCTCAGCCTTGGCAAGCTGACTAAGGAGAATGGTTTGCTGGAGAAATTATATACTAGACTAGACAGCTGTTTTTGCAATAGCTCATATAGCCCACCATGATTGACGCATGGCCCAAAAACCAAGCTTATTAGATGGCCCATACAGTATTGACAATAGCCTCACTAACTATATATATACATATATATATATATATATGGACCAAAATCCATCCTACTTAAAATTGTTGATATTATGTGTGGCCCAACCATCAACCACATTTTAAATATCATCACCACATTAGTTTCTAATGTCATCGCCACGTTAGTGTCTAATGACACCAAAATCAATTCTTGGTTCAAGATGTTTGATACAATAACTCCATTAATTGACAACACCAGTTGGGGTACCTGCATTGTAAGACAGAACTATAGGTCAATCTTAGATGGGTACTTTTATCCTTTAGTCTTTTGATATCAATGGGATTATCTACTCACCAGCTAAGATTTTTTTTGCAGGGTATCTAAGATTGGAATTGATAAGATGGTTTGAACAATCAATAGCCCCATTGGTTCTGTAAATGCAGTGACCCAGGGTTTCATTTTAAGGTTGTATAGTTATAGTGTTTTAAAGATTGTCCAATCCAACCCTGCCCCGCAAGAGGCGCAACGGTCCGATGCTGTCCCCTTGGCGCTGCCTTCTCTTGATTCGCGTGGACAGAAGAGATCTACTGGTGTGAAGAAGCGCTTGAAGACGTCACAGACCTTTGGCTGTGATGTGGTGGATGTGCTATTATATGTGCGTGTGTGATCATGGGTATAATCATGGGTACTTGATGGGTCCCAAAAAATAATGTAATGGGGCACACCTGATCTTAATAGCAACCACTAACATCCACCAATTTCCAAACAAGATTGAATAAGCCCAATCATAACCTACTGAGTTGATCTGAGTTGATTTTTTTGTTTTCCCCCTTACTTACTGCCCCAAAATCATGGTTGGAACCCACAGCAAACAAGTTTAATTTTTGGGGAAAGAGACAAAACCCGTGGACAAAAGTTTCACTTGAACCAGTTGTGTTCAAGGTGGACATTCATTACATTAAAAGTTATCCTAAATTTTGGGGTGCTTTTTGGGTGTAAAAAGCTCCTTAAAAAAGGTGCACCCATAGGTCAATCTTACTTGTAGAGGGTTTCCTCCCAGAAAAAAAGTTCACTATGCCCACATCCCTGAAAACCTTTGTGTGTAATGATTATAGTTCTAAGCCCTGGACTGGCCAAGGACTTATACCCCGGCCTTTGGAGCTAAAATTGCTTCTATCTATGACCGGCTGCCTAGTGGATGCAAGCCGCTGCGGAACCCACAGGATAAATGGGGTAGGGAATGACCAGTTGGTATAAAATGTATTCTTGAGGTAAAACAACTTCATTGTTTTTCATTTTCCATGAATAGAAATCGAATTAACGACCATGTATTATCAGGCACATGTTGGGATTTCACTATATTTCATTCTCCTCCTAGCACTGGCATTGGAATTTAAATCGCCGGGGCTTGGCAGCAGGACCCTTCTGAAGCATCGGGACCAACGCTTCTTTGTGCTCTGACCCAATCTGATCTTTGGAAGGATGCTCAGATGGAAGCAGTTGTAAAGTATATGTCTTGCAACCGATCCATGGGATGCCCCGATCAGTATTTTCACCTTTTGTTTCAAGGCTTGGAAGAGCCGCTGTGATTTCCAGCTGCCCCTTCTGAGCACCCCCTTGACGTTGAACGAAAATAAACCATATGCTTTACAATTTGCCAGTGTAACTGTTGAGGGGTGCGCAAAGAGAAGGAAATTCACCTGCAAATAGGCAGTGGTATGTTCCCATTGCACTATGATTGCAAAAGCAATTTGTTGTTCCCATAGTGGATCTCAAACCAATAATTTGCAGTCTTCGGCAAAAAATGGCTGCGCAAGAATGCGTAAGAAAACCAAGAATCCGGCTAAGAAAACCAAAAATACGCGTAAGAACGCGTAAGAATGCGTAAGAATTTTTTGGGGTTCTTGCAGCCTTTTTTTGGGTTCTTGCAGCCTGCATTTTGTGGCCAGGCAGTTCCAACCAGAATTTGCTCAGCCCTGCGGCCTCTTCGTCGAAGGAAGGTGCGCTCTCCACCCCAAGCCTTGCTGGGTGTGGCATCAAAATTCCAAGTGGGATCAAGTGGGAAAGATTGAGAGGATTTGAAAGGGTTGGTTTCTTAAAGAGATCATTGTTTAGCTTGATCGGTTTTCTCCCCATTCACTGTTGCAGTGGCTCAGCAACCTAGTAGCCCTTCTTCAAGGTAGAAAGGGGGGCACCATGCCGGGGTCTTGTGACAGCCTGCTTGCTGGTGCCAAACAGCTGCAACAGCAGCCTCAGCCTTCTACCCCAAAACGTTCCTCTTCAGGGGTGTCTTGTTATTGATTTACTATGGAACCATGATTGCCATTGTGAAATATGTCCATGGTTTGCCATTTCCGGTTTGCCAACATTATCTAAGGTGAAGTGTGAGGTTGACGATCCACAGTCGATGTTTTCCCCAGAGACGAGTGCGCTGATCAAGGGGTTATCAGATAGCCCAGAAAGTATGATGTTGAAAGCTGAGATCTTGAAAAGTGCCAATATGTTGCAGCGTGGAGCCCTGGGCAGCATTTACTGTCAATAGCATTATTATGCAGTACTTGGGATGGCAAACTGCTACAATCTTTGTGGACGGGTTTACATCACATCAAAGAAAGGCTGAAAGGCTTAAGCAGCCATTGTTGGTGACCTATTGGGTATGTTTTTTGGGGCCCTGAAAAGGTTTCAAAAGGTTCCCCAAAATGCCCCAGAAAGATTTTCCACGGCTCTTGAGTACCACTTTGGTTTACCCTTTTGGTTTGTAACATGGAATCCCATACATCCCACGAACAATGTGTTATATAATTGAGATTGTGTCAGGTACCATGGTTGGCTCCACATCATGAGGCATGGTATTTGATAATATTTGCCTGATCCCAATGATGGGTTTTCCCCTGGCATGTGAAGAAGGGTCTTCTCCAAAACTTTCCGTCTCAGGATACTCGAGCGGCTCTGCTGGTGGGAGCATTCTTGATACCACAGAGGCTGCCACCCCTGCCGAGCCTCCACAAGGACATGGGGCCTTTCCAGACCCAGCTTTGCCTAAGCAGGTGCCAGGCGAAGGGGAGGTGCCACCGACAGTCGCAGGGCCCATGCCAGGGTTCAATACAACCATGGAAACACTGGAGAAAGAAATGATGGAACGGTTGCAACTGAAAATGTTAGAACTTGAGGAATCTTTCACACGAGAGATCCACGAAAAGAAACGAGTAGCTGAGCAGGAGTTGGAAAAAGAGTACAATGGCAAACGTGCCAAGCTCGATGAAGAAATTTTTGACTTACAGGAAAACTTGGTACACCAGCAGACACAGCTTGCTCTTGCCAGTGAACAGCTCCAGGAACGCATGCTTCTTGTTTCAGATGAACAAAAGTGTCTGGATGATTTGCGGGAGAAAACCAGACAGATGAAGCTGCAGCTTGAAGCTGCGGCTGATCACGACCCTCCAATGCACCCACCGCCCTGTACTCCAAGTTCTAAAGCCAAAGAGTTGTTGAAAAAGAAGTTGGAACAAACTCAGAAAAAACCAGCTGTGCCCATTTCTACCCCGAGCCCGGCATCGCTTCCCAGTGCTGTGCGCCCTTCAGAGAATACTGGTGACTTGGGTGAGGTGTCTGTGAATGGGCCTATGGTGCCAGTTTCCGACCAGAGGTTCACAAGCTCTACCCACCCCCAAGCATGGCATTGCCTCTACCGCATGTGTCGAAAACCGGATGGCATTGACAAAGAGATCTATGACAAGTGGCATTCAGGTCTGGTTTGCAGTTAGGGTACAGGCTGCCTTCCAAGACATACAGGGCACCCCCATTAACCCCAATAATCTTGAACTCTTATAATATTATATCATATGATATGGGTTTTCAAAATATAGAAATCACCATTGGTCACCCACTCAAAGTTATGTTTCTTTTCAACATCCCCCTTTGCGGCAAGGTGGTGCCAAGCGGGACCAGTTGCTCAAGGACTTTGTATGTCGATGCTTTGCCCCGGCTGATGACTTCAACAAGAACAAGGCTCATTATGGCCCATTCGGTGATGAATAGGGCTGCCCACAAAATTACAACCAATGTTTCTTCAAAAAAATGTCCTATAGCTATAATAGTAAATTGTGAGGGTCTTCCTGCTCTAAAAAAATCTTCCATAATGCTGCCTAAAAAATGTGGATCCCCTTTTTCAGTTTCATTCCACTCCTGTGATGTCGGCCATTGCAGGCGAAGTTGCAGGCTTTGATCACACTTCGCCAAAAGACCAGCCAGTGGCGTCGCAACCTGCAAGGGTACTCATGGCACACGGAGGAAGAGATGAAAACAGTTCTGAAGTGGAGCCAGTCATTTGGCTACAAACATGATCCGATGATGGTTTCCATATGGTACTAAAATTCAGGATGACATGTGCATGCTGAATGTTCAACCCTGGTCAAAGGTCAAAAGTGGATGGTGCCGTCAAATATTGCACGAAGCGAAAGATGACCAAGACTGGGGTTGCTGATTTTTTGTCGTGCTTCAAGTTTCAAGTTCTTTAAATTGCATACGTATACATGATATGACAATGTGGAGAACATTAAAACATATTCTGTGGCAAAGGAGGCAAACAGTTACCACTTGAAGGGGTATTTTTTTTCGGGCTTAATCATGTTTAAATTGTTCATGTGTGATTGACCGACCACACACTGTTTAGAGCAAAAACAAAAAATGACAACTTATTTGTTCAAGGTTGTGACACCCTGAGCCCGTTTGAAATTGTATCTGTTGTGGGGCCTAAGGAAACTGCACATCTTGAGATTTCAGCATGGATATCTCCCCTCAATATATATGTTCTTTCATGTTCCTCATTGTCCCAACTGTCCCAACCTGCAAAGCCAACACCAGCTGTCTTCTTCCAGCGTCCAGCTGCCTTCCAGGAAGTGCATCTACGATGTGACTGCTTTGAAGTTTCTTGTCCAAACCAGGGATGATGTGGAAGCTGGGGATGAGAAGATCAAAGAACTAGAAAGTGAGATGCGTGAGATTGGCCTGTTCGATTCGGAATTTTCCTTAGGAGATGTGCTGGATGAAGGGGAAGATGAACAGAGTGCATCCCCGAACAACGGACCCAAGAAAAAGAAACTGGAGGAGTACCCTGATGTTGAAGGGGATGAGTCGCTCCCAGAATACATAGGCCAATATAAAAGGGCATGCCTTAGCAGGAAGGCACTTTTGAAAACCACGAAAGAACGCTTGGAGAAGGACAATGTGAGCCCAGCTGACTACAAGCTTCTTGGTTGCAGTGGGTTTCAACTCTTGTTCAAAGCTTCATTTCATGTTCTTCCCCAGCTAGTGGAAATCCTAAACTTGTGGTGTTTCAGATCCAAGGTCTGACTATGATGCGTTGGCAACAATTGGAGGTTATGGGCCCCAAAGAGTATCAATGTCATGGCAACAGTACAAGTATGGCTTCAAAATGATTTAAATGTCAATATTCTGGGATTTTGGCTTACCCACACTTGGAGGTGAACTGAATGACCTCTTCAACGAGGTTTCCAAGATCGAAGTCTCAGTGCAGGGGAAGGAGAGTCTTGCCAACTTATGGTTGCCGACCCTCTGGCCTCATGTGAAGTCTCCCCGCTGTCTCTGTTCACCATGTTCAGGTTGATCACCTTGGCATAGGATCTTCTTTCAAGATTTTCTCATTTTCATGGGATTTTCAAGACCCCCTGCCAACAAGTCATTCGACCCCTCTGCAAGGCTTAAAAAGGTATGAGCAGATGCTGTGAAATTCATACCAGGGTATCACAGGGTATGAGTGAATCAGACTTTATACCCCAAAAACTAGCCCAGGAAAAAAGCCTATGGCAAGGTGAATGAGAAGATTCGCTCTGCGTGCCCAAGCTTTGCAATCTAAAAATTGGGAAACGAGGTTATTATTTTCCCCTGGAAAATTGAGGGTAAGGGTAAGGGAATGTCAAAACTTGTCAACTCAGGTGCATCCGCTTCAACAATGCCCATGCGCAGGTGAAGACACTCATTTGCACCAAGTACAATACATATATAAATATTAGAATCTTATTAGAACTCATAATATTGACCAGCATCTCATAATTGGTGAAACTTGATGACATGCCCTGTGAAATGTTTCAACGGTTAATGTCTCGACAGTTTGCCCTTTCCCTCATGGCTGGTAAATTTCCACTTGGGTTGGTTCACCAAAAAAGGCCCCCACAAAAGTGTTTTCCCTGTATTTTATGAAAGATTTTGGGACTTGTGGGGGCCTTTTTTGGGGGACTAACCCAAGTGGAAAAACATTCATGGCTACACCGAACATGTTTGACCCGAGGACTTACTTCGTGAAGACGGCAGCGAAGGCGAAAGCAAAGGCGAAGGCTGAGGCTCAGCCACCTCAGGACTAACCTCTGGGTTGAACGCCTGTGGGTGTAACTTTAAGGGTTGGAGGATGCTGGGTGCAGCGCACCAGTTGCTGCATGTTTTGGTATGGTATGACCTTCAAACCCAGTTGCAAAGGTTCGCAGTGTCAGGGCTCGGTGGAACCATGGCTGGCACAAACATATAGAAACAATTTCCTCTGTATATTTTTTTGATCATTGTTGCTGAATCACTGTTGCCTAGCAGAGTCCTGATTTAGCTTTCCGTGAGATCTTTCAAAGTATACATGGCGCAATCTGCGGTGCGAAACATCTTGCATCAGCTTGAAGTGCAGCATTGTTGCTTGGTTCTTGTGCTGCATGCATACTATACATACCATTAAGTTAAAGATCCACACACTCACACCTTGATTTTCGTGCCCGCCCCACGCAGGTGGTGGAGATGCAATGCCAGATGTTGTCAATGATATCCTCAAAACATATGTTGCCCCCTGGATTGAACATGATTGAAACCTTCACTCAGTGGAAACACCAGTGGGAAGATATGGAAACCCCTTCAATGAAATTCAGAAAATATCGGGTCCACAGGGTCCCCCCCAAAGTTTACTGACCAATCATTGGTGTGTGGGAGCCCTTATTTATGATCCCTTATTAGTTTTGAGTTTTGACTACGTGTTTATATCACCAAGTAATCATCATTGTGGTGGGTAATCTTTGGCAGGGACCATTCCAAGTTGGCTGGGGTGCTTGTTCAACTCTCTGACCCCTAGGCTACCTCAGCCTCTGCAGCCATCAACCAAGCGAAGGACACGAGCAAGATCGCAAAGTGGTGCGATGAGAAGTTCTATGTGGACGAGCTGGGGAAGCTAGCTGAAAACCGCCCCAACAACAAAAACCGTGATTTGGTAAATCATCTTGACAGAAGAGGATTTCTCTTGGGAGTGCCTATCTCCTACATCAAAGGGGTCGGTGGGTTATGAAATCGCAAGTTTTTCCTAGGTCTGTGATTTTACCAATGAATTACGGTCCCATAAGATCGGAAAACTATGGCAACTCATGGGTGATTGGTCATCTTCAATTTATTCCACTTTCACCCTCAAAAAGATGGTCCCAGAAGGACAGAAAACCATAACAAATAAGTTGATCACCTGTAAGACTATACATGCATGTGTTTCAACCAAATTAAATATCATCCCATTGGATTGGGTAAGGGTAAGCATAGCAACCAATAGTTTGCTGATCATCCTTGAGATCTGCCTTCGAAATATTCCCCAAAATCAGGAAACCATAACAACAAAGAATTGGGTGATCATATTCAAGATTATTCCATGCTTTGAATATCCCAACAAATTACTGTCCCATCAGACCGGGAAGCCATAGCAAAGATAATTGCCTATTCATCCCTAAGCTTACACGATATATAATTTTGAATATAATTTTGAACCTCCCAAAAGTATGTTCCAATAAAATAGGAAAATCACAGAAACAAAGGAACGGCTGATAATCCGCAAAACTATATGCTTTGAATTTCCCAATAAAGTATGGCCCCATAAGATTGGAAAACCATATGGCTGATCATCTTGTAGAAATTTGGGGGGTATATCGGTATATCTGCAAACATCTATGTTTGGTCCCTTTGGTGATTTTTCATGTTGGTTAAAACATGCGTGGATAGTAAGTCCCCTGCAGGTCAACTATTCCTTTTGGAAGAAGGGGAGGCGGAGAAGGAACAAGGTAAAGGTGCACCGAAGCCATGACCACCCCGTTTTGCAGATTTGGGATATGGCGAAGTATCTTTTGAATTCCAAGTACTCTCACAAGCTTCTTGGGTGTGACATCAAAGATGATGCCAGCTGGAAAGCCGAAGTCCTGGGTTTTTGGGAAAAGTTCCGAGCTGACACTCGTTTATGCCGTAGAAATAGAAACTTTGGGCATTGTTTCCCTGGCCTGTTTTTTGGTACTTTGTTGGTTTGGCCTCCCAGATTTTCACACACTCTTAAGTGGTGTAGTTTTGCCACTGCAGGTTGATGGTGGTCACGCGGTCTTCCTTGACCATGCAGATCCTGAGGAGTTGTGTCGCTGCTTGCCATGCCTCATGCATGGAGATGAGGGTGTAGGGCATCGGAGAAAACCTGTTCTCCAGTTGCTTTGGGGACCTCTTCTGAGGGTTGGTTTGGGTGCAACTGATAGGTTGTTCCTTGTCACCACGTGCCCTCACAAGTACTACTCAGGCTACAATGAAGGCACTGCTGCTGGGAATCAGGTGATTGACAGACTTGTGGCTGAATGCGCCAGGTCAGCCTGCAAGTCTTACTACCAAGGCATCCCTACGAGGTTTGGCACCTTCAGACTGGTGTTTTTGGGCTTGGCCGGTGACCACCCATTTCAAACCAAAGTTTGTGGCAGTTTGAGAAGCCATCTCCGAACTGAGATTTGCCCTTGGTGTCATGCCAACACCTCCAACATTCCATTTGAAGATTTTGCGCGGAGTGCTGCTTGGAGAAGAACCGTTTTTCAATCAGTTCCCTGGAAGTCCAGCTCGCCTTTTGCAATTCTGCCTGGAGGAAGCCACCCATCATTCATCAAATGGGATCTTATGCACATGGTGCCCCATGGCTGTGCGCGCAATTTTTGCGCATCTGTGGTATGCATGTTGTGTGGGCCTCTGGGATTGATTTCGCCCATGCCGGGACCTGGCCTTAGAAAAGACCGGTGCTTGGAAGCTGCTACCCGTTTGATGGATTCTTGGTTGATTGGCGTTGGCAAGAGCATGAGGGATCTGAAAGAGCTCACACCAGAGAACCTCCAATGGAAGTTGAACCGTGACTTTCCTGACAGCAGTTGCAAGGCCAGCGATTGCATTCTGTTGGCACAATGGCTGCTAGACCTCATTGGCACCATGCCATGGCAGATGACTGAGCCACTGCAGATGGCTTATGAAGGCCTACAGGGCTTGGACAACTTTCAGCGCTTGTGCTACACAGGCGACAGACTGTTCATGAATCCAGCAA